TTGTTTAATAAACAATTCAAATGTCTCCTTGCTATATTTGACATATTCATAATCATTATTTTTGCCGGTTGTTTGTGACAGCTTTTAGGTGCTTTATTGGCAGCGCCACCCTTACATGAAAAGAAGCTTCCTCAAATGACCGGCAAAACGTCCAACATGCAGATGCGTATCCTACGGCACCATCCCGAAATCAATTTAGTTGGAGCACAGAAAACGACCCAAAAGCAGCAGCCTACACTGCTTAGTTTAGTTTAATAATTTGGATAGTTAATATTGTTCTTTGGTGTTCAGTTTTTACAGGGTTTTCAAATGTTATTTAATAAAAAATATAAAAAATTCTCTCAAAATATATATTTTTTTCACCAAGCCCCGCCTCCGTTACAGAATCGCGATACCAACCGAATCGTTGGTTTGGTGTATCTTTACAGCCCTATTAGCGAGACACTCACATTTGCTCTACACAGAGTGATAGCTGACTCAATTGCTTACTCATGACACATCTTAAAAGTATTCCTAATAATTAGACCTTTAATTGAAAGTAAACTACTTTTGAGCCACGTCTTTACAAGCACCCAGATCTGTGTTTGTGATTCTCAGCACGACACGTGAAAGCGGTTCTTGCAAGGTTGTTTAAAAATATATGCTTTATTTTTGTAATTCCGCTGCTAGGCGGCGCACTAGTGTTGCAGAAACGACATGCTTCAACTTTTTATTTTTGTGAAAAATAATTATTTTGAATTGAATTACTTTAGTTTTAAAGTAGACAAATGATTCATTTTCTGAAGACATTTCTGTTTGTATTTTAGAGCTCGTTATGGCCTATGACCTTTGGCCTGGCGTGTTGTGCTGTGGAGATGATGCACATGGCCGCCCCGCGTTATGACATGGATCGGTTTGGTGTCGTGTTCAGAGCCAGTCCCAGACAGGCTGATGTCATGATAGTTGCAGGGACACTTACCAATAAAATGGCCCCTGCATTGCGGAAGGTATTTGCACCACAGCAATTTTAATAAACCTCTATTGCCTATATTCAATAGATTTTGGCGACCAGGTTTAATTTTCTTTTTATGCTCGGGTGTAATGACTGTTCTGCTACTGTAATTTCTGAATGTCTTGCTGATAACAGGTGTACGATCAAATGCCAGAGCCCAGATACGTCATTTCCATGGGAAGGTATAGCAGTTCTTTCATTGCCTACTTCATAAATGAGTCAAAAAGACTGTTTTATCATATTATGTTTTGTTCGTTTTTGTACTAAATCTGATTTCTTTCTTGTGTTAGCTGTGCTAACGGTGGTGGCTACTATCACTACTCTTATTCTGTGGTCCGAGGTTGTGATCGCATCGTTCCAGTGGACATCTACGTCCCAGGTGTGTTTCATTTAAAGGAGTCATACGATGCTATTTTAAAAGTTCATTATTTTGTTTATTGGGTGTAGAAGAATAGGTTAAAATGCTTTAATGCTCAAAAAAGATAATTTTTCACATACTGTACACAATTTGTATCGAGTAACCGGCAAAATACCGGTAGTGGCACATTCCACGGACGAGAATCCATGAACCGCATTATCAGAACGTTTTCTAAGGCTGCACAATGTATTAAAACTAGATATAGGAACAGCCAAGTGGACTCAGAATATGAACGTAACGCACAAAGTTTCACTCTAAGCGATTCCCAGTGAAATACTGGCATAAAGTTGGCTTGACACTGGATATTCGCACATTTAGGGACCGTCTCTAAAGTTACGTACGACATTGGTACACATGTTTCTAACTTCAATATCATCTGAAGAGAATAACTTGCAGTCATAAAACCAACTCTAAATTGTTCAGTCTGGATCAGTGTTTTCTGTTAGATCGAATAAATCCCTTTGTGGGACACTACGAGCTTTTTTACGAACAGATTACACACTACAAGAAAACATTGAGAAACATCACATAACCACTTTCTGAATTTTCTGATAATAAAATGATCATCATATAGTAATGTGTCTGTGTGTCCTGCCAGGTTGTCCTCCCACCGCAGAGGCTCTGCTTTATGGAACACTGCAGTTACAGAAGAAGATCAAGCGAGAAAAGAAACTGAGAATTTGGTATCGCAAGTGAGGTGTGATTGTGTTTGTGTGTCTGTTCTGAAATGTTTATTTAATGCTGGTTATTTGTTGCTCAGAAGGCTGATTTCTCAGGAGCTGCTCTGGTTTGAGCGAAGCTCCTCCTCTTTGTAGCTACAATAAAAGACTTTCTGCTTCAACCCTGAGTGCAACGAGTTCTGTTTGATGCAGATTGTATTTTTTGTATTTTGTCATTGTGGTGCAGTAGTTATCGTTGTCTATTTAAAAAAATAAATCGTTCAGGTCAAACTTTTTATAATAAGGTCGGACACTGCTCATCGGGTAAATGAAGCCCATTTTTATGTACCATTAAATTTTTTTTAGGGGTAACACTTTAGTGTCTTTGTTACACAAGAACATTACAGATATTTACTGTAGTAATAACACTAAATTATGAGTAATTACATGCTACTAACCCTCTAGTAATGCTGTTCATTAATATTATTCAGTATTTAATTGTATAATTACACGGTAACAAGGCCACCTTAAAATAAAGTGTAACCTTTCTGCATTTTTTTTTAGCACATTTCCCCAATTCTTATTGTCATTTTAATAAATGATAGTTAAAGAATGAAGTACTTTACATTGTGAGTTTATATGTAGATAAATTATGTTAACAAATGGAACCTTATTGTAAAGTGTCACCATCATAATTGTATAATTGTAATTGAGAATTACAAAACCGCTCAAAATTAAAACCGCAAATATCAAAAAGAAAAAACTGCTAATATGTATGAATGCAAGAAATGTAATTTATTTTTGGGACTTATAAAAAAACATTTTATAATTAATTATTATATAATTTTTATATATTTTGAATGTGCTTTTTTTTCAATTTTCATTTCAATTTGTTTTCAAATTTGAAGTGCTTTGGTCATTTTCATTTTTATTTTTTTTTCACTTAGTAATTTTAGTACTTTTTTCAGTTATTTACTAAAGCAACATTTCAAAATGTTTGATTAAAGTTTTTACCGTGTTTTTTTTAAATTGTTTTAGTAAACCATAAGAGAAATGCGTTTGCTGGCATATCTTCTTCTCAAGGAGACTGATGCACTCTCAAAAGCAGCAGTTCTTTAGGCTCTTCAGGGGTTAAAATTTCCAAAAACAGTACAGAGGAAAATCACTTTTAAAGGGACAGATTACCTAAAAATGTAAATTCTGCTGATCACAGAAGACGATACTTTGAAGAATGTGGGTAACCAAGCAGTTTTTTTTCTACTATGGAAGTCAGTGGGGACCCGCAACTGTTTAAATACCAATAATATATCTTTTGTGTTCAGCAGAAGAGAGAAACTCATACATTTTTGGGTGATCTATCCCTTTAATAACTGCTTAATTTCTAATCTATAAATGTGTTGTGCTGTGAAAACGTGATTCAATCTGCTTAACCCCTAAATTCCTGTTGTAATCTTGACAAATGCCATGACTTTTTCGAACAAAACACAAACTCTTGGACCCTTCAGGGCACGGGTACAATACCTGAAAAAAAGTGAATTCCCCAATGATAAATAAAGTGTCTGCAAAATCCAAATTGAACAGCTGACTTAGGCAAAAAAGTTTAAGAGGACTGCAGCTGAAGGCTCTGCGGTCGCTTTATCAGTGAATACACTCACCTAAAGGATTATTAGGAACACCATACTAATACTGTGTTTGACCCCCTTTCGCCTTCAGAACTGCCTTAATTCTACGTGGCATTAATTCAACAAGGTGCTGAAAGCATTCTTTAGAAATGTGGGCCCATATTGATAGGATAGCATCTTGCAGTTGATGGAGATTTGTGGGATGCATATCCAGGGCACGAAGCTCCCGTTCCACCACATCCCAAAGATGCTCTATTGGGTTGAGATCTGGTGACTGTGGGGGGCCATTTTAGTACAGTGAACTCATTGTCATGTTCAAGAAACCAATTTGAAATGATTCGAGCTTTGTGACATGGTGCATTATCCTGCTGGAAGTAGCCATCAGAGGATGGGTACATGGTGGCCATAAAGGGATGGACATGGTCAGAAACGATGCTCAGGTAGGCCATGGCATTTAAACGATGCCCAATTGGCACTAAGGGGCCTAAAGTGTGCCAAGAAAACATCCCCCACACCATTACACCACCACCACCAGCCTGCACAGCGGTAACAAGGCATGATGGATCCATGTTCTCATTCTGTCTACGCCAATTTCTGACTCTACCATCTGAATGTCTCAACAGAAATCGAGACTCATCAGACCAGGCAACATTTTCCAGTCTTCAACTGTCCAATTTTGGTGAGCTCTTGCAAATTGTAGCCTCTTTTTCCTATTTGTAGTGGAGATGAGTGGTACCCGGTGGGGTCTTCTGCTGTTGTAGCCCATCCGCCTCAAGGTTGTGCGTGTTGTGTCTTCACAAATGCTTTGCTGCATACCTCGGTTGTAACGAGTGGTTATTTCAGTCAAAGTTGCTCTTCTATCAGCTTGAATCAGTCGGCCCATTCTCCTCTGACCTCTAGCATCAACAAGGCATTTTCGCCCACAGGACTGCCGCATACTGGATGTTTTTCCCTTTTCATACCATTCTTTTTAAACCCTAGAAATGGTTGTGCGTGAAAATCCCAGTAACTGAGCAGAGTGTGAAATACTCAGACCGGCCCGTCTGGCACCAACAACCATGCCACGCTCAAAATTGCTTAAATCACCTTTCTTTCCCATTCTGACATTCAGTTTGGAGTTCAGGAGATTGTCTTGACCAGGACCACACCCCTAAATGCACTGAAGCAACTGCCATGTGATTGGTTGATTAGATAATTGCATTAATGAGAAATTGAAGAGGTGTTCCTATTAATCCTTTAGGTGAGTGTACATTCACAACAGTCAGCGCCTTATTAAATCTAGTATATGAAGCACAACAGCTAACAATATGTAAATTATGTAGTGTTTATTTTCGAGCAGTACAATGGGAAAAAAAACTGTTGTTGAATGGCACAACTATGCATGGTCATTTATAAAAACATTTTTCTAGTAATTTTGAGATTTTAATACAATATTCACCCTTGTAGATAAATTAAATGAGTTTCAGAGAAAATTAACAATAAAATGATTTAAATGCGGTTTGTTTTCTTATTCTTTAATAATAGTGGGTGTGATCATCTTCTTAAAGGAGTAGTATTTGCATTCACTGGGAGGACTGATGTCCATCAATGTGGTGCTGATCTTCTCCTTCTTAAATCCTGCTTCCAGCAGATGGGGAACTTGTGTCTCCTTAAAGAAAAGTGCATCATAAGACCAGAGCACAATGGGATGGATATAATTGCAGTTATAAAAAGTTACTCACTTGGAACATTTTGTCGATGTCATTATATTTGTTTTTCAGCAGATCACCCCAGGAAGTGAGATTACAGTATGTGAGCACACCGCCGGGCTTCAGCAGTCTGTTAGCATGACCCTGAGAACACGGTTCAGTCAACATAATGGAGTGTGATCCCTGACAGTTAACACCAAATTAAACCATCCACAAACCTTGATGAAGTTGAACTGATGTGTGTGCCACGTCTCCTCTGACAAAGGATACGTGTCATAAAGAATACCTGTGATTGGAAGGCAAATATATGCAGATTTGGCATAACTTTCTTAATTGCCACTTAATATAATACTCATAAATAGCCTACACATTTGTTCTAAGTATGTATTTCTTTGTAATTGAATATATTACATACAGAATATTATTAGATCAAATTTACAATACCGTTCAAAAGTTTTTTTTTAAAGAAGTGTCGGTAACACTTTACAATAAGGTTCATTAGTTAACATTAGTTAACTGCATTAGTTAGCATGAACTAATAATGAACTGAACTTAAACAGCATTTATTAATCTTTGTTAATTTCAACATATACTAATACTTTAGTAAAATCGTATTAACATTAGTTAATGCATTGTAAACTAACATGAACAAACAACGAACAGCTGGATTTTTTTATTAATAACAAATACAGTATTGCTCATTGTTAGTTAATGCTTTAACTAATGTTAACTAATGAACCTTATTGTAAAGTGTTACTTAAATGTCTTATGCTCACCAAGCCTGTATATATATTTTTAATTGAAAACAACATAACTATATTAGGAGTAAATAACTTGTTTCTATTTCAATATATTTGAAAATGTAATTTATTCCTGATCATGTGACAGTCTTCAGAAATCATAAGATGCTGATTTGGTGCTCAATAAACATCTATTATCATTATTGTCAATGTTGAAAACAGTTGTGTTGCTTAATATTTTTGTGGGAAAACTGATCATTTTTTTCAGGATTTTTTGATGAACAGAAAGTTCAAAATAACAGCATTTATTTGAAATAGAAATCTTTTGTAACATTATACATGTATTTACTGCCACATTTGATCAATTTAATGCATCCTTATAGATTATAGTATAATTTTCTCTTAAGAAAAAAAATCGTACTGTACCGAAACTTTTGAGCGGTAGTGTATATTTTCTTATTTTTAATGTGCAGTCATGGGAAGGTAAACAACACTTTCCACTGCCTTTGAACTAACAACCAATTTTAAAGGGATACTCCACTTTTTTTGGAAATAGCCTCATTTTACAACTCCCCCAGAGTTAAACTGTTTAGTTTTACCGTTTTTGAATCCATTCAGCCGATCTCCGATTCTGGCGGTACCACTTTTAGCATAGCTTAGCATACATCATTGAAGTGGACAAGACCATTAGCATTTCTAAAAAAAAAATTACCAAAGAGTTTTTATATTTTTCCTATTTAAAACTTGACTCTTCTGTAGTTACATCGTGCACTAAGACCGACTGAAAATGTAAAGTTGCGATTTTCTAGGCTGATATGGCAAGTTTTAAATAGGAAAAATATCGAAACACTTTGGTAATTTTTTTTTTAGAAATGCTAATGGTCTTGTCCACTTCAATGATGTATGCTAAGCTATGCTAAAAGTGGTACCGCCAGAATCGGAGATCGGCTGAATGGATTCAAAAACGGTAAAACTCAACAGTTTAACTCTGGGGGAGTTGTAAAATGAGGCTATTTCCAAAAAAAGTGGAGTATCCCTTTAACAATCCTTAAAAAGATATTTTGATTACATTATAGTAAATATTAAAATAATTTTACCATCAAAATGATTGTCAGGTAGGGTTGGCACAACCTCTTCCCACAGGCCTTTCAGAGGAACAATCTATGCAAGTAAAACCAGTTTAATAAGTCATCAATTGCTTCGTAACATGTAATAGCCCAACACAATTTACAAATATCCGACATGGATGTGTTTTGCTTTACTTTATGTGGCTGACTCTTGGCCCATTCCTGTAGCCTCTGGAATACACCATCATTACACTCAACGATCCAATGCTCCTCAATGGGGAAGGACTCCACTTTAGTGGCTGCTATGGCCATTCCAAAGCCGATCTCAAGCACCCTTCCACCTGCATTCCCAAGCAAGAGGAGACACGTTGATAATGCTTATGATTTCTTATTAATAGTTTATTGCTCCTCACTACAACCGCCTTTTGTCCATTAAGTGGATATTGTGCATCATGTTATAAAATGGATATTTGTCATGGAATATTTACTGTGAAAGTCTGACTTATGTAAGCCAATAAACATTCATTCATTTTGATTCATGCTTGGTTCATATACAGTATATTACATTAGGCTATATTATTACGTACCGGTATATATTTCTCATTCATATCTAGCATAGTAAGATTTACACACAAATCGTACTATGCCAGATATTAATGACAGAGTGGTGGTCATGGGAAAGGTCCTGCCCCTGGAGTTGCAGGAGGTGATATTTCAGGGAAGATTAAAAATAGACATGAGCAAAGTAGAGGACACTAATGACCAGCCCTTCTCAAATGAATGGCATTTCTAGAAATTAAATTTGTGATCCATTGATGTGACACGTGCTCTGTATAAATATGAACATACATTATTGTCATGAAACGTAGTAGCCTGGAATAACTTCATGCATGTAAGTGAATATATTCAGGCAAAATGCAATGCACTGCAATTGAATGCAGCCATACACGCCGTCTCGTGGCGTGGTTAAGCCAAGTGAGAAAATCTTAATCAAATTCAGACTTAACTGTCAACTTTTTAGTAGTATTTTCATAGGCGGAGTTTGACATTCGAGCCAGGGGGGGCAAAAAAAAAAAAATCATTGTAGCATTCATTCATTCATTCATGTAGCAATCATTGTCGTTCGGACACAATTAGGATAAATGAAATGTGGACCACTTTTGCACTGTTAAAATATTATCTTCAACCAAAACAAAAAGATTTTTAGTTTTTCTTTTCTTTCCTTTTTTCAAAACACATTGTGGCAATGAGAGTGATTAAAGTTATATTTCGCATTTTATTGTACTTCATGAAACATTTAAAACATTTTGAGACACGGGAAAAATGAACAGTCACACAATAGCCTACTCTCCACGTTTGAAACACAATTGTGGCAATGAGAGCGATTAAAAAAAAAAAAGTTATTTCGCATTTTGTTGTAGCCATTTCATGAAACATTTAAAACATTGAGACACGGGAAAAATTAACGGTCACATAGCCTACTCTCCACTTTTGAAACATATTGAACAGCATATTGAAAGCAGTGTGTTGAGTTTTTCTCCATCTTAAGCAGTTATTTGGCAGAGAAATAAAACTTACAGACCTAGATATTGCTCAGACTAGTGCAACAGTAATTTTCGGTTTTTTGCGTCCTGCGTCGATAATGGTCTCAGGTGAGAGCTTGGCCGTAATGTCGCTTTCGATGTGAAGGATCGCAAGAGAAGAAAACCTGGCTGCTCCCATCGTCAACCGCAGCCTGTTCTTTATCCTCTCATGGAGAGTCGGCCTGGCATGAATAATACAGCGGTTTTAGTCCTTTTTGGGGATCCATGTGAACGGACGTGTCTGTACGCGAAAAACACACAGGAAATTCCTCACTTACCGCGATACTTTGAGATCCGCCAGTCGTGAGAAAATTAGCTTCTTTTTCAATACAGTAATTAAAAATAATTTAGCCTTAACTTACTCATTATACCCGCAAAAATGATAAGATAAGACAAATAAAATGAGAAAATATGAATACAGTATTTTTTTTTTTTTTTTCAAAGCACAAGGCAGGCATTAATTGGCTCTGGTCTGGGGGGGCAGTGCCCCCCCTAGCCCCCCCCAAACTCCGCCTATGAGTATTTTACCTCTACATTCTGCGTGGGGAAGTTTTGCACCTGTCGTCGTGACACAAGCACGTGTTTGTGTCACATTCACACAGATAACGCATTCTTATCTCACGAATACAACGTGAACGTTGTTCACGTACTATTTCTATCTGGCAATGTGATGAAGGCGTAGGTGATGAATATTAATTAAGTAAGGCCACTGGGGGCTCCAGGAAGGTTAAGAAGCAACGTCAGCATTTCAAAATTAATATTCATAAGCTAATTCTTCGCCATAGTAGTGAGGGGAAGACTCGTTTTCGGAATCGGTTCTCTCAAACACATCGTGCGGTGTTCTCAACTGTTTCATAAATACTGCGGGTACAATCACTTTATTGACGTAGTGATTCCTGTCTGCATACCATATTATGTGCATATTCGGACTTTCTGGGACAAATAAATACTGTTTAATCCTTTGGTGAGTTTTTGACTTGCACCATGGCCACCGCGCAGCCGCTTAGAGACCGATTCACGAACGAATCGTCTAAACTGGTTTGTTAAAAAGATTCGACTCAACTGAAGGATTCGTTCAAGAATCGGATTCCCTTCGCCATAGTAGAATTCTCTGTTATTGAGTTATTGAAAACACGTCTTGTTTCAAAAGTTTTTAAGTTTTCGACAGATCATATCAGATCACATCTGTGTGATGTTAAATATAATATTGCAATTAAGTCATTTTTAATTGAAAACAAAAACATAACACGCATTGACTGGATAATGTTGTTGTTGTTTCAGCTGAATCAAGAATTTAATAGGAAATTACCTTTAGATGCAGCAACTGTTGCAAGAGAGTGCATGTATGGAGTTTCCCAGCGCTCCATAACGGGTTTGCCCATGATCTCCAGGTGTGTGTCGGCTGCATTGTAGTCAGCACTAGCGTCATGCCACACTTGTTTGCAGTTTTCTCCCTGTGAGAAGATCGGCTGTGCGGTGGCCATGGTGGATGGTTGAATGTTGACAGTCGTGGCGAGATGTGTATTAACGCGCAGTGGCTGAAGAGATCGTCTCTGCCGTGACTTGAGTGTTATATATTTAAAGAACTGCTGATTGTGCAAGAATCTGTGTAGTCAAAGAGTGAGTGTTGATAAGGAGTCCACTGAGAAGGGGGTGGACTCTCACATGCATTACTAGACAGCTGGAACAGCTTCTGATTCATGAATGATAGTTAACCCAACAGCTGTAGCCTTCACTATTCTTCACTATTTAAATGCCATGGTTATGCATTCCCATGTGGCAGAATCATGGTACAGTGATTGTGTGAGATAATAATACAATACAATACAATACTTTGAGCTGTGCAAAAGTCTGAGACCACATTGAAAATCTGGGACTCAACATCTAATTTACAGCTGGAAATAAAATGATTAAGAAATATTTAATACTATGCACTATTTGTCGGTCACAATCAAATATGCAAATTTGCAAACTCCTTTGTACAAAAGGTAAGATATGCTTGAATAATTACCATATGCATATACATCATGCATTCACACACAAAAACATGGTATTTCTGTTATTCTTGTCCAAAAAAAACCCCACTAGTACTACTGTAATACTTTTCCAAGTGTGTGTGCGAGTAAGTAGTTTCAAGAGGTGCAGTTTCAGTATATTAACCCTAATGACATCACTCACCCTCAAGTTGTTCCAAACCATATGAGTTTCTTTCTTCTGTTGAACACAAATAAAGATATTTTGTTTAAAATATTGGTAATGAAACAGTTGACAGAAAATTGACTTCCATATAGTAGGAAAAAAATACTATGGAGGTCGATGGCTACTGTCAACTGCCTGTTTACCAACATTATGGAAAATATCCTCATTTGTGATCAACAGAAGAAAGAAACTCATACAGGTTTGGAACAACCATTTGTGGGTGAACTATCCCTTTAAGGTTGTGCAATTGTTCAGAACAAGTGGACTTTCTGAACTATTTACATGCTGGACAGCCACCGTTTTTTAGTTTTCGTCAATATTTCGGTCAATAATTTAAGGCATACCCAACATTCCTGTTGTTACAAAATGGTTACAAAAAAATTGATAGTGAGGCACATCTATTTTCTGCTGTGACATCTTAATGGATCGCTTTGCATGTAACAATTCACATTCTGTGAGCAGCAAATAAGAACATTTGATCTTCTAACTGAGATATCTGAATTAATAAATTTTTGTCAATATTTAAATTCATTATTAAGAGCTTATTCTTTGTACTGCTTATGTTATGTGACTGTATATGTTATTCAGACAAATTCACAACCGATTAGTCCGATTTAATCAAAAAAAGTATGTGGCTGTATAAATCCTCTGCTTTTCGTACTGAAGCACCTCCTTCTCCTGTCCTGTAAACACCGATATCTGCACAATGTAGGCCTATATGTGAACCTGTTGAACCAGGTTTGCTGATAGTACACTCCAAACAGCATATTATTGAATCACGATTAAGCACACTCACAACTGACATTTCTTAAAAGGATCATTCACTCAAAAAAAAAGGAAGATTCTGTCCTTATTTACTCATGTTGTTATAAGTGAGTGTATGCTCTCTCTTTTTAAAAACGGGAACATTTTAAGAAGGCCACTCTTTTCCATGCAATTACGATTAATGAGGACTGTTGTTAAAGCACCATAAAATACCATAAATGTGGTCCATACAACTTGTACTCCATTTCAATCCTTTTGAAGTCATGTGATGGATCTTTGTGGGAAACAAACTGGAATATGGAATAATTCTTCCCTCCAGTGATCTGATCACTTTGACCGGATCAATGAGTCAGGTACTTAATCAGCCTGATTTATGAACAAGAACAAATCATTGTTACCTGGAACAACTTATTTATTGAAAAGACCTGATAAAATGCTTCATTCCTGAATTGGTTATCCCTTCTGGGCTTTCTTAACTTTTTTATGCCCTTAGCCTTATTATATTATTCCCTCTGTCTCATTCACTCGGATGTACGTCATTGCTTACATTGCATGAGTGCCCACTACTGGCGCCCCTTGCAATGTGTTTAAATGGAACACCCTAAGTTCTTGATAACTGGGCGAACTCCAAAAGGCATTTTTGCACCCTTGAAGGGCACTTTGGGAAGGGGACGCCATTTGTAGGGCTGTTTCAAATGAAAGTGAACAACTGAATCCCTTCGAGCGCCCTTCCATGGGTCTGTTAGCGAAGGAACATGCAATGGTCACTTCAAGGAAGTAATTTAATCGTTTATGGTCATGTTTTGCCCTTCGGAGTGAGTAGGGCATAGGGATACTCACTTCCGATTGTAATTTTCCCTAAGTGCGAGCACTGCTGCTGTGACGTCACAATCGTGTTGCATTGTCGTCTGTGGATCTGCCTCAAGTAGACTCGCTCCCTCTGTCAAAATCAAGGGGTCGAGGGTCTGTCCAAATAAACTTCTCTCGCCCACTTGACAAAGTTGAACGCACTTCAAAATGGTGGCAGGGATTCTCCTGAGGGGAAGTGCTTAGGGAATTATGGCTGCGTCCTAAATCGCATAGGCCTACTGTCTTTACTTATTTTGAATAAGTAATTACTTCACAGCCGCTGAAAAAGTACGTTCTAGCCTATATAGTAAGAATGTTTGTAGTATGAATGTAATCTGAACGCACTTCGCCATGTTGTCATTATCATGTGACCTAGTTGCATTGCTTCACTGCCATTCATGGTTCATAAATCCCATAAAACTCACGTGGCCTCATAAAGTGTCCATCATATGCACATTTCATAAACTCGCTGTCATCCGGGTACTTTTTGCCTACTCTTTTACTGTAAATTCGGACATAACGTACCTCTTTTGTCACATACTCTTTTTTTGCTTACTATATAGTAGTCTAAAAGTTAAACACAGCCCCCAGATGTCACTGAAAGAGGAGGCGAAGTTATTTTGATTTTTAAGTGAACAATTCCTCCAAGAACACACATTCACCGTCTAAAGTCCTTTTTTTTTTTTTTACTGTTTGTTATTTATTTTTTACTTCATCCAAGTGGACTCCATTACCCAACATGCTGTGCTGTCATTGCACCGCCCTTGCTGGGGCGCCCCGTTGCTCGCGTCAGTGTTGCGCAGATTCGGTTTGAACCGAAAGCGGAGTGTGACCTTCCCGGGCGGCGGAGACCGGCAGGAGACCGAGCGAGCGGACCCATGTCAGCACTCCCGTCCACAACCCTCGCCACAGAGATGAACAACAACAACTTAGCTGGAGATGAAATCGGGTAAGACTCTGTGTGTTATATGACAGTGTTTGGATGTAACGTACCCGTCCGTTTCCAGCGGAGAGAGATGCGCAGCGGGCCGCCGGAGGACAGCAGATAGCAGGGAACCAGCCCGCCGGGCTCCGCACTCACACTGGTGCACCAGTAAACTCCTTACATTTGAGGATCACGCCGACAACGACACGTTCTCGGTTCATTTAGCTGATCAAATGCTTGGTTATCGGAGCAAAGAGAAAGATTGACAGAAAATGATCAGCTGTCAAAGCTGAAGCTGTCAAACTGGATGCTTGCATCACTCTCTGTTTATGCTGTAAGTTTCTTATAAACGACTTGGAGTATTATAGCTCTCTTTTTGTCGTTTAAGTTGTTTAAACACAAACTGGAGGTTTATACCGCTCTCTTCCATAAGTTTATAATCAAACTGGAGGCTCGTATGTTGTTTTGTTATCCTGTCAGTTTATAATCACAAACTGGAGGTTTGTAAAACTCGCTTTTTATATAAAGTCATATTGAAGACTGGCATAATGTAAGCTTTTTAATAATCATATTGAAGGGTTGTGTCTCTGTCTTTTATGCTGTAAGACTTCTAATCGGAGCAGAAGAGGAAATCTTGATGCACGGTGTTCTCCTGTGACCCAGCCTGCAGCAGTTTACATTAGCCAGGTGGATTTGTTAACCAGCTCATGTCTGACTCTGAGATGGTTTCGGAGCAGCTCAGGATAATTTGAATGTATTTTGATAATGACCCGTTAAACCGCACAGATCAGTCAGATCAGGCTTTCAGTGCCAAGGGCATGTTTTCCCTCCTTCACCTTGACTCATGTTCCTTTCTGAATGATCACAAATGCATTGTGACGTTCCCTCATCTTTGTGTTGCAGGAAGCTGTTTGTGGGTGGATTGGATTGGAGCACCACCCAGGGTGAGTTGAACTAACCACCATATAGTTTTATACAGTAACATTCGTTGCTATGTAGGGGCTCTTAAATAATGCAAGTGGCAGCTGCAAGGCTCTATCACACAGTGTGTGTTTCATTAAAAGCACAGTCTTGTTTTGCACTGCTGGGTATATTATGCACGCTATAAAATTCTGCATAAACTTTAATATGTGCTCGGCATGTTCCGAGCGTAGAAACCAGGTTGTCACTCAGGGGCAGGCTAAGCTTGCCTTTTCAGCATGGGTTAGACGCAAGCTCCAGAAATCCGATAAAGCCCGTATCAAGTAGCATGCGTAAAATGCAATGAGGAAATCAATGGAAAATGATCTAATAATGTACATGGAGTATATAATAATTTCATCATAATATATTTCAAAGCCTTGTCTGCTGTACTTGTCACTCCTGTCACATGATTACTTTATGTCTATTGCTTTTCTTGCTTTGACATGTAATTGTGACGTTCAGAATTTTGACCTTTGGGCTAGGGCTGCTCGATTATGACAAAAATCATAATCACGATTATTTTGTTCAATATTGAAATCACGATTATTTAACACTATTATTGGTGAGCTATATGATCAAAGTCTTATTTCATGATATGAGTAATTTTCAATAACAGTAAAATTACACAATTTTCAATGGGCAACTTCAGCAAAAATGAATACTAAGTTAACTAATGTAGCTAAGTAAAAGGTCCTCAAAACAGAAGACAAGTAAACAGTCTGCAATACAATAAGAACAAAGAAACTAGTTACAAACAAAATGGACAAGTAAAGACTACAAAAGGAAAATACAAATAAAATAAACCGTGCTTTAAGTTTTTCAGGAAGATGTACAAACCGTAGTATTCATATAAGTAATAGCCTACAGCAGAAACTGAATAAAGTAATAAAATTTAAAATAACACTGCTGTATACATTAAATATAGACTAATCCTTATTGAAGCTACAAAAGTTATTCATTCAAGAGCAGTGAGTGATTTTATCTTTGTCTTTTGTTGTTTGATTAACATCAACGACACAGACTAAAGCAGTAATATTGGGCTGCTGTCACTTTAAAGGGATACTCCACTTTTTTTGGAAATAGGCTCATTTTACAACTCCCCCAGAGTTAAACTGTTCAGTTTTACCGTTTTTGAATCCATTCAGCCGATCTCCGGTTCTGGCGGTACCACTTTTAGCATAGCTTAGCATACATCATTGGAGTGGACAAGACCATTAGCATTTCTAAAAAAAAAAAAAAGACCAAAGAGTTTCGATATTTTTCCTATTTAAAACTTGACTCTTCTGTAGTTACATCGTGGACTAAGACCGACGGAAAATGTAAAGTTGCGATTTTCTAGGCTGATATGGCTAGAAACTATACTCTCATTCCTGCGTAATAATCAAGAAACTTCACTGCCGTACCATGAGTGCAGCAGGCGTAATGATATGACGCAGCGCCTGAAAATAGGCCACCTTCCTTCAACACAACGGAACTATTTTCAGGCGCTGCGTCATATCATTACGCCTGCTGCTCTCATGGTACGGCAGTAAAGTTTCTTGATTATTACGCAGGAATGAGAGTATAGTTTCTAGCCATATCAGCCTAGAAAATCGCAACTTTACATTTTCCGTCGGTCTTAGTGCACGATGTAACTACAAAAGAGTCAAGTTTTAAATAGGAAAAATATCGAAACTCTTTGGTCATTTTTTTTGAGAAATGCTAATGGTCTTGTCCACTTCAGTGATGTATGCTAAGCTATGCTAAAAGTGGTACCGCCAGAACCGGAGATCGGCTGAATGGATTCAAAAACGGTAAAACTGAACAGTTTAACTCTGGGGGAGTTGTAAAATGAGCCTATTTCCAAAAAAAGTGGAGTATCCCTTTAAGACCGATTGGAAGGATGCAATATGCTGTTATACAAGTGTTTTCTTTCTCAACTGTTTACATTCACTTAAAGGGATACTCCACCCAAAAATGAAAATTCTGTCATCATTTACTCACCCTCAAGTTGTTGCAAACCTGTATGAGTTTCTTTCTTCTGCTGAACACAAAGGAAGATATTTTGAAGAACGATTTGAACTTTGGCACCATTGACTTCCATAGTATTTTATTTTTTCTACTATGGAAGCCAATGGTGCCAAACAACTGTTTGGTTCCAATCGTTCTTCAAAATATCTTCCTTTGTGTTCAGCAGAAGAAAGAAACTCATACAGGTTTGCAACAACTTGAGGGTGAGTAAACGATGACAGAATTTTAATTTTTGGGTGGAGTATCCCTTTAAGACATAAACGACTGTGTTTACGAGGATACTTAGAAAAACGTCATTTTGACATTTTTGAGTGTAGCCTATTAGGCGCAAATCCGAAGCCCACAGTATACTTTGCTTATGCGCGTTCAGTTTCTTTCATGGCTTAATGCGCTTTTAATGAAACCGTTTAATACCAAGCACGTCCCGCAGTTTAAGAACAGTCGACTGGATTTTACAACACTCTTATTCGGCATATTTGGATGTTAAAGGGATAGTTCACCCAAAAATGCAAATTCTGTCAGTAATTACCCACCCTCATGTTGTTCCAACCCCGTAAGACTTTCGTTCATCTTCGGAACACAAATTAAGATATTTTTGATTAAATCTGAGAGCTGGATCACTCCTCCATAGGCTTCTAAGGGATTGAAACTTGCCAGCCCAGAAAAGTTATTAAAGACATCATTAAAATAGTCCGAGTGACTACAGTGGCTCAATCTTAAAGGGATACTCCACTTTTTTTGGAAATAGGCTCATTTTACAACTCCCCCAGAGTTAAACTGTTCAGTTTTACCGTTTTTGAATCCATTCAGCCGATCTCCGGTTCTGGCGGTACCACTTTTAGCATAGCTTAGCATACATCATTGAAGTGGACAAGACCATTAGCATTTCAAAAAAAAAAAAATGACCAAAGAGTTTCGTTATTTTTCCTATTTAAAACTTGACTCTTCTGTAGTTACATCGTGCACTAAGACCGACGGAAAATGTAAAGTTGCGATTTTCTAGGCTGATATGGCTAGGAACTATACTCTCATTCCTGCGTAATAATCAAGAAACTTTACTGCCGTACCATGAGAGCAGCAGGCGTAATGATATGACGCAGCGCCTGAAAATAGGCCACCTTCCGTCAACACAACGGAACTATTTTCAGGCGCTGTGTCATATCATTACGCCTGCTGCTCTCATGGTACGGCAGTAAAGTTTCTTGCTTATTACGCAGGAATGAGAGTATAGTTCCTGTGTAATTTAATTTAATTTAATGTATCCCTGTGCAGAACTTTCAGTATCATCACTCAAGTCTAAAATGTAGCTACTTTGGAGTTTGCACAATCTAAAACATAAAACATATTTTGGGTTGTTTCACATTTTACTACATAATTCCATATGTGTTCTTTCATAGTTTTGATGTCTTCAGTATTAATGTACAATGTTGAAAAAAATAAAGAAAAACCATTGAATAAGAAGGTGTGTCCAAACATTTGACTGATACTATATATATATATATATATATATATATATAGAAATATATCCACGAAATCAAAAAGAAAACATATGGAATCCATCTGGTTTGGCTCTCCTCTGCCATTTAACAGATGAACCAAAGTTTGATCATTGGACACAAGAATAGGAAATGTTTTTTCCTCTCTTTTTACAGTTAAGTCTTTTTTTGCTATCCTAACTATACAAACCTGCAGTTCTGCCACCAGATCAGAACTTCTGATCTAAATGTATTAAAATGTACCTTATTCCTTTCTGTGGTTTTTTAGAGACTTTGCGAAACTACTTTTCTCAGTATGGAGAGGTTGTGGATTGCGTCATCATGAAAGACAAAAGCACAAATCAGTCCAGGGGCTTCGGCTTTGTGAAGTTTAAAGACCCCAACTGCGTACGGACTGTCCTGGACACCAAACCTCATAACCTGGATGGAAGAAATGTGAGGAGAATGACTGATAATTCTATTTTGCCCAATCATGATGATAACTGCATCACATATAAATGCTAATTTAAAGACATCTGGATCCTGTGACCCCAAAGTCAAAAACCTCTGTTCTAGTGGCATGCTGGTTTGAATTTTTTTTTTTTTACTGAATAAGTGTTATCTGTTTATTCTCGCAGATCGACCCAAAGCCTTGTACGCCTAGAGGTATGCAGCCCGAGAAGACTCGAGCAAAAGACGGCTGGGTAAGAACTGTAATGTAAAGCCACTAGTGATGCACGGGTCAGCTTTTTTTCCAACCCGCGGGTCCCGCTTTTATGAAATTATTTGGCCCGCCCCGCAGCACTGTATCTATTTTTACAACCCGCCCCGCACCCGCGACCGTTAAATAGACATACTAGGTATTGTAATATAAATGAAAACAGCCTTTATTTCAGCCTGAAAGTGCTTGGAAACATCGCCCTGTAAACTGGCAACAACAGATGATTATGAATATGAACCATAAGTCATTAATAAGATACTAATAAACATTTTCACCATTTACAAAGCAGCGTTTGTATTCATCTAATAGGCTAAACCATTTTTTTTATTTCTTAGACCCCCCACAAATATGTCTTGACATGCTGGAAGTGCCCGTTTTGTGGCTCTCCTGTTTGTATATTCTCCACACGAGTTGCTCTTCACGTAGCCGATACTGCTGTTGTCTCTTGCTGCAACTATTTCTGAAAACCGGTCCCAAACATTAGATTTAGGAGCCTGACCTTTTTTTTTCTTTTAATTATGTAAAATCCCGACCTCAATTTCTCCAGCACCTCATCTTCCATCTTCACTTTTATTTCTCCGTTCTTGTTGTCGTGGCTGGCTGCGGCGGGAGCTGCTTGGCTCGCCGCTTTTGTGACGCCAAAGGTTTGGGGACATCACGCAAGTTACGTTGCTAAGACATTCGTATTGTAACCTTATCAAAGTACCTAATAAAATATGAAAATAGATATTCCCAAATATTTAAATAGGCTGGAAATTGCACGCAACATACATGGATTTGAAAAATAAAAATACATTTAATGACCCGCCCCGCAAATAAAGTGACAATTTCTTTCCCCGCCCCAACCCGACCCGCGGGTTACCGCGCATCACTAAAAGCCACGTTAAATGTGTTTTCTAAATCCAAGTTTGTTCATTAGAGTCTGAAAGCTAGAGTTTATTTACTTAATTTTTATTCATTGTTTAGATTCAGTCCAGTTCTTACCTGACTCTAAAAAAAAAGTTAAAATATTCTCTTTTTTTGTGTGTGTGTGTGTTTTAGAAAGGAGGCAAAAGTGACAGCAATAAGTCTAAGAAGATATTTGTGGGTGGAATTCCTCATAATTGCGGTGAAGCTGAACTCAGGGATTATTTCAACAGATTTGGAGTGGTGAGATGGACACAGATACAGAAATGTACCATTTTACTTTAATCAGACTGTGACTCTCATAGGGCATTATTAATAACTAGATACATTTCATAAAAATGTTGCAATAATGTCAGACGATGCACAAATGAGCACATACAGTGGTGTTTATATAAAAGGTCACATGGTCATGAACTTGCTTATTTGATTTATTACTAGAAATAGTGCAAAATCATGACATTTCTTTGGTATATCAAGGTTTAAATTCGATTTTGAATTCATGATTTTCACAATTTGTACACACCACTGTATGTGATATGTTTTATATATGATGCCTTTTTTATCGCCGTTTCGTCCTTCACTGGTTCTGTTCTCCCTTTTGAAGGTCACAGAGGTGGTAATGATCTATGACGCAGAGAAACAGAGGCCTCGAGGTAAACCACGCATTCATATTTGCTCCCATTCAGTCTCTCTCTCACCTCACGCGCAAGACAAACTATTCCTACCCAAAGAGAAGAGAACATCACGCAGGTCTCCATTGCTCTCATGTGTGCGATGCTTGGTTTGGTGTGTCTCAACTCTTGCATGGTGGCAAGGCAAATCAGCAGCATCCACATGACACGCAAACATTTGCATCAAACATGTGCAGTCAGTTCAGCTTCTTGCACATCTGCTTGTCTTAAAGGTGTAGGTCATCCAAAAATGTAGTTTTCCCCCCCCCCTGTGGGACACAAAAAGAGAAATTTTGAAACCATCACATTTCTTTTGTGTGGTAACTGAATGTGATTCGCTATTTTTGAATAGATGCTTGCTAAATGCAAGATATTCATTAGTGAATAACAATTTCAATTTTAATCTGTTCAAAAGACTTGGAACCTATAACGACTTGCACAGCTTTTTAATAGTGCTTTGAAAAAACAACAAGAGACTCGCTGTGCCTTTAAAGGGAATAGTTCACCCTAAAATGAAAATTAAGTCAACATTTACTCACCCTGGTGTTGTTTTAATGCCGTATGCCCTTCTTTCTTTTTTGGACCAAAAAAAGAAAGTCCTGCTTGCCCATGTCCACATAATGGCAGTGAATAGTGAATTTTTAAAGAAGGCACGGAAGTATCACAGAATGATCTGATGCTACACGTGTCATATATTCCAAGCATCCTGGGTTTATATGATAGGGTTTGGTAAAATACGAACTGAAATTGAATGTACTATTTAACAAAAATCCCGACCTTGGTCGTTGGTCTTCAAGGCAAGGCTATGCGACCCGTGTTCGTGTGACTCCAACTCGCCCAGAAAAAGCACATCGTTTGTGAGTAATCAAGATTAAATAAAAAACGCGACATGAAATACAACCCATGTACCTTCTTCTCCGAGGTGAATTTATCCATTGTGTTATGGCGTTCACATCTGTCATTTGGACTGTTATCAGACCACCGGAGTTCCGGTCTGGAGAAATTCAACTCTCAAAAAAATATACTGATACTTTTTGGGGGATTTTTAGGTGTTGTGTTTCATGTCGCGTATTTAATAATCTTGATTTCTCACAACTTGTGTGTTTTTTCTTGGCGAGACGGAGTGAACTGCGCCGCTAATAGAGTCTCACAAACGCGTACGTCGCGCAGCCATTAAATAATACATCAAATTTGCATTTGTTTTTCACCAAAACCTATCGTATACGCCCAGAACACATGGATATACGACACATGTCACATGGGATCATTCTGTGATACATTTGTATTTTTATTTTTTTTGTATTTTAGTGGCAAACCTGTTAATATCTTTTTGGAGCTTGACAGATGTGGGCACTACTGTTGTATGGAATAGAGCTCTGCAAATATATATATATATATATATAAAAAAATCCATTTTGTGTTCCATGGGAAAGTAAATAACAGGACAAAGAGTAGATCATTTTACATTTTGCGGGAACTACCACTGTAAAATTAGAAATTGTAGTGTATTATCTCACTGTTTTATTATAATTGAAAACGGACTGTGGCCATGACCCCGGTCTAGCTGAAGAACTAGTGAAACAAAGCCATCAGTTGGACTGAACAAGCTTTTTCATTTGAAAAGTTTGCAGTGCGATTTTTACATTCACTTAAACCATGTCCATGTCTTCCAGAAAATAGTTTGCTCTGCTTTTACTGTTTAAACCTAAAATGCTTTTCACCTTTCACTCTCGTTGGGTATGGATGGAATAGTTTGTCATGTGAACATTTGTAGTTGACCTACTGAATTTCCAATCACTGAAATTAATTTCTATGAACCTTTAGACATTTAAGTAAGTTTTTTTTATGAACATTTACATTTGATTGATCTACGAAATGAGTGTTTATTGCAATGTAGTACATTTAAGTAAGCCCTTTCTATCTTTCTTTTTATGTCCCTGTTTTCCTTGTCAAGTGTTTGAATGCATTAACGTTTTTCCTGAGCTATGTCTGTTCTTTCTTGTAGGATACAGTACAGATAGTGGCACCACACAGATTAAGGCCTGGTGTGAAACACACTCATGCCTGTTTCTCTGGTGTAAACACAGTTAATGCTTCAGTTTGTGCCCAGGTAAAGGCAGTGGCTTATCCTCAGACAGTTCACACATTGCTTTCTCTTCACTGATACTGCATAAAACACTTCCTATTGAGAGATGCCGTGTGTGTACAGTGTGGCAGATGTTCTCTGTTTGCGTTTCGCTCTTCTTAATAGCATAATTACACACTGTCTAGCTGTTAAAGGCAGAAAGGCAGGTTTGTGTTCTCAGTAGCTTTATGGATGCACTCCCACAATGTTCTTGACTGCAATAGCAATGGGCCAAGATGGTCGACTTATCATCCAGCAACCATCAATTACTAGTTTTTGGGCGTCGGTGCAAATGGGAATGGGAAATAAATTCTGAGATGCAGCTTCACAGAGAGGGTTTTAGAGTGCTGTGCATTAGCGTCCAGTACTTTCAGCAATGCAAAACACTCTTCGTGAAGTTTTGTCTCTAAATTCATCCCAGATTATTGAAGTATCGCTTGTGCAAATTCACCACATTTAAGAATAAATTCAGTTGCTATGAGTGTTACATTTTAGTTAATAACTTTTAAAAACACAAGAATGTGTCCTGTGTGAACAGCCCCTAATCGGGGGCCCTAGCAATCGGGGCCCTAAACAATCCAACGACTAGTCAATTTTGATAGTCTGTAACATTGAATTTACTTGTAAAAGCCTCTATCACTGGCAACTTTCTTCTTTAATGAAACCAGGCCTGATGACGAAGGGCAGGTTGGGTATATTTAGTCCTCATTTAGACGGATGGTTCTGCTCCAAATAGTGACCGAATTCTCAGATCTCTTCAGTCTCAAAGGACGTGCAATCAGAATCAGGTTAGATCCCAAAGTGGAGATTCTCGCAGCCCTGTTCTGCCACAGTTATCTGATCTGACAGAAACTAGTTCACACTGGTGGATCTGGCGCAGCTAAACTCAGCTGCTGCTGGAGGATTGTGCTCTGTCTTATCGCGTAAGCGACCTTGGAATCGCGCTCCGATTCGGCGGCCCACTTTGATAGTTTTGCCTGCGTGACCCCTGCACGCGTGGGTGCACGCAGTTGCTTTTTTTTTTACTGTCCCCAAACCTCTGAGTCGATCTTTGAAATTGAGCATTAACTGGGCTTACACCACACGAGAAACGGGGCTGCATTAAATGTTTCACAAATATCCTTATCCTTGTGGTGCTTTTGTTGCAATGTTACAATCTATGTTCTCTTGGTTTGCCCAAAGTACTGAGGCATTTTGGGAAGCTTCGAGAAAACCAGTAAAAAACCTGTAGTTGTAATGATCATTCTACTTGTTATGCATTGATAATTGTGGTTGCTGCTCGCATTTGTTGTGTAAGATTGGGGTGGTGATGAAAGTGAGGTTCGGATGAAACTTAAAAGGCAGATATATAAAAATCAAGCCCAACACTTGACAAAGATCTGTCGTCGGTATCGTTGAGTTATCGAACGCCTTCTACTGCTGTTAATCATTAAATATGTCCAGGGTTTAAAGTATTGAAGGGAACAGAATAATACATAACACTTCTGTCCTTTTGGCCTCCACCTGTGATCTTTCCTGGTGACTCGGGCCGTGATGTCATCCGAACCTTAGGTACCCCCCACCCCATCCCTCTTATGTTCTTCTAGCTGTTCTGTCCCAACACCCTACTGCTGCTCTGTTGACTTTTGGTCGTTGGCTAGGTTTTGGATTTATTACTTTCGAGGCCGAACAATCAGTGGACCAGGCTGTCAACATGCATTTTCACGACATCATGGGCAAAAAAGTGTGTAGTTGTAGTTTTATTTTCCCCTACAACAGAAACTAAAGCTTGGGCGACCAAACATGCACAAGTTAAAAGTTGTAGAATTGACATTTAACGCCAAAGGGAGTTGTTTTTTCTGACACGATGGGTCATTTCTCTCCCAAACTGGGGAAAGTTTGCAAAAGTGTTCCATTTTATACATTTGTATAAAGCTCTGTCCATGTTAGTCGCCCAAGGTTTGGTTCATTTGGACCTCTACTTTAGGTGCTGTAATGCTGTATAAAAGTGACAAACTTAGGGTTTGTACCATATTAAAGTATTAAAATAACTTCAATTCATTTATTAGTATACTTTGCTATTATAATTGAATTATTAAGGCACAATATATATAAATGCTACGGGAGCATTGTGTTATATCAGCACTCACCTAAAGAACTGGTTAGTTTCCTTTTTTTTCTTTTACTTTTTCTTTTATTCAGGTTAATACTGTCAGGTCACTTACTATTTGAGTTCTATATATTATCTCAGAAGGCAAAGAGAAATCTCAATTAAGTGACCTCAATGTTTGAATCTCCATACTGTGTCTGTTAATCTACTCCAAATGGGCTTTGGGCGGGTAGAAAATGTCTCTCTAGTGTCTGATACCTAGGTGTATTAGTCTGTTTCGACGGATAGCGCAAGACTGAACAAGTCGCATGACGTGTTATCTCACCTCACCAGCTCGACTTAGTAAAATATCACTCCCAGCATGGTCGCTTTAAGGAAGTTGATCTGCATTCTGAAAATATAACACTAGTATTTTTCACATATTTGGCCTAATAGTCTCAGAGAGAATCACGTGGGTCTGTCTTGGACTTTCTGCGTTTGGCCTCCCGAGGCATTACCTTGCTCTGTCATGACTGCACTGTGCTGATTTAAAGTGAAAAACCACTTCCAGCAAGTTTGTTCAAGACTCCAGAATAGCTCCGTAGTTTCTGTCCTACATTGAGTTTGTTCTCGCCTGCTTACGCTCTCCTTGACTTGGGTCTGTGTTCCTGAAGGAATCAGGTGCTACGGTACCTGGGCTATTGTTCTTCGCATGACATTATTTCATTGGGGGGTTTAAGGGGGGTGGGGCTATATGTTATAAAATTAGAAACTGGAGCATATCAAACTGTGTACCAAATCCCAGCTCTACTGTTGGACGTGAAGACTTGCGCGAGGGCTCCCATCACTCTGAGCGGTGATGCCCGCGGGAATGGGGGGGGGGCATGTTGCCGATTCGAGGATTGCAGACCACTCGCTCAAACTGATACCTAATTAGGTCGACAGTGAGAGAGGAGGAGAGAGACGAAAAGAGAGTCGTTACATTTATGCTGCTTTCCAACGGAAAAATATCGTCTCTCGCTCTTGATGCAAGGTGACCCCAATAACTCACCCCCTTTAGAGTCTCAAGTCTATTTCTGGATTTCCACTTTAACTGGAGTTAAACTTCCCTCCGTGTGTTTGTCCATTTTTTTAATCGAGTGGCAGGTAAAAGAATGTCATTGGCTTAATTGGCTAATTATATAATTAGTGGTAATTGCTAAGGCAAGCGTCTGAAAAGCAAATCTGAAATCCTCTATTCTACTTAACTCATATAGCTCGTGCTAAATATATGAATGATAGCTCAAATAGTTGTTTTGCGATTGGATTTAAGATTTTCACCTGCCAGATTATTAAACATGGATTAAAAAAAAAATCTGTAGGTTTATATTAAAGTCAGAATGAAGTGAAAATTGGCCCTTATCTATTTTCCAAATGCATCTTATTGATCTTACTGTGGACAATTTATGTATTTATTTTTGAGATTTACATGTTTTTTATAATCACAATAACATAACCTTCAGGAGAAACAACAGACTTCTCTTTGGTGACGTATGCTGACACCATCCAATCGACAACCGATGGATTGAGCCCCCTACCGTATAACAGTGAAAACACGGCTAGCCGGATAATTCAGTCAGTGGCGGGAGTTAAAGGAGAGTCTCAAGAGACAAGAATATTGTAGGGTCTTATAGGGTGGGCTCTTTTGCCTTGGGTCATTAAGAAACAACATAGACGTGCGTTAAAAACCATAAAGAAAATATTACCAACCGCCTAACTACTCACGTCAACCTACGGTAGCATCATAAGCAAGGGTAAATAAATACCCTCTCATTTTCTTCGGAAAATGTAAAAATCTATTCATTTTCATTTCGTATTTGACACAGTATGAAGATTCCTCTCTGGTTAGACTTTTGTCTCTCCATTTTTAATATTTTGCATGTTAAGTATTTGGTACAATTAGATTATCATACATTTAAACATCACTGACCCTTATATTTCTATTGTCGTATCTAAACTGAGATTCTTAAGCATTAGCCAGGGGGGAGGTAAGTCTTCATTTCTATCAGCAGTTTATAGCTACTTAGAAGAGCTGAGATATAAGAAATGTACTGGGACGGTGTTTCTGAGGTACGTCTGTGGTCGTGAAAAATAAATATTTATTGTCACGTTTAAGCAGAAGTCATCTGCCTGATATGACCCATAGAGTTTTAAAGTGTCCCTTTCATACCCAAGTACCTCAGAAACATTGGTTAAAAAGTTATAGAAGAGACCAAGTATATTCCATTCCATCTGGACTACGGTCATGTATTTGGCCTAAGTAAGCGTATCTTTTCTGAGGTGAGGGCTAAAGTTTCTGATAGGTGAGTGGGGGAAGTAGGCAGTATGTTAATTCTCCTCTTGCTAGTTACGACCTCTTGTCCTTTGTGCAGGTTGAAGTGAAGAAGGCGGAGCCACGAGACAGCAAAGTTCCCACCCCTGGTCAGCTGGGAGCCAATCAGTGGGGGCCCCGAGCCATCTTAAGCGCAGCCAATGGCTGGGCAGCACAACCGGCTCCGAGCTGGCAGCAGAGCTACGGGCCTCAGGGTGAGTGACACGATAGGCCAGAACGCAGCAGGATCGTAACACGTCCCAACCTGAAAAATGATACTAAGAGCCTACTGGTGTCAGTCATGCTTTGCTTTAGGTCAGCTTGCGCTGTTTGCGCCATCTGGCTAAACCACACTGGGTTTGTCCACTGTGCAGGGGGGAATGTTGTCATGTAGATCTCGCCCAAAATAAGCCTGCTCTGCCTGGCTTGAATACAGACATGCGACACTTTAATTGAACGCATTCTGGTTTCGCTCACATTTTTCCGTATGATTCAGATTCCGATTTGAATTTTAAAGTAGTTTCATGGTCTGGTGGATGTAAGTTAAAATGTGTTTTTTGTTCCAGGTGTTTGGGTTACTACAGGACAACCTATTGGTATGTTCTGTTTTATTATTACAGTTTGATTTGGTTATATTAGTTAATTATTGAGAATTCAGTGATTTTTGACTGTATATGTATCACTAATAGGCCTATTCACATATACTTCGATTATATTATATTAATTATATTATATTATATTATGCAGACTTGTTTGGGCTCAGTAAGACTAATATTTTTGAAAGTAGTCTCTAATTTCTATTTTAATATATTTTAAAATGTAATTTATTCCTGTGATGTCAAAGCTTAATTTTCAGTCACATTACTCCAGTCTTCAGAATATGCTGATTTGGTGCTCAATAAACATTTATTGTTATTATAATCAATTTTGAAAACATTTGTGCTGCTTAATATTTTTTATGAAAACTGTGATACATTTTTTTTTCAGGATTTTTTAACCTCTTAAAGGGATACTCCACCCAAAAAGGAAAATTCTGTCATCATTTACTCACCCTCAAGTTGTTGCAAACCTGTACGAGTTTCTTTCTTCTGCTGAACACAAAGGAAGATATTTTGAAGAACGATTGGAACTTTGGCACCATTGACTTCCATAGTATTTTTTTTTTTCTACCATGGAAGTCAATGGTGCCAAACAACTGTTTGGTTCCAATCGTTCTTCAAAATATCTTCCTTTGTGTTCAGCAGAAGAAAGAAACTCATACAGGTTTGCAACAACTTGAGGGTGAGTAAATGATGACAGAATTTTCATTTTTGGGTGGAGTATCCCTTTAAGATTTTTGCCATTTTTGGGGATTTCCGCCTGGATTTGGCCTACCCAAATTAAAAAGCTTCCCATTCCCACATACTTTGGCCTAAATACACAGTTTTGGTGTCATTTTACTGGAAACCCTTTGCAGTTTCCTTTTGGAACACTCAGCACACGTGTCATTTGGATTAAAAACGAAAGTGATTCTAAGCTTTCAAATGATACCATGGAAGCCTATAAAAAGAACGTACGAACATCATAACAAATATTTTTTTCCCCGGTACCGGGATCGTGGATTTTATGTGGTTAATGAATAGAAAAGTTCAAAAGAACAACATTTTGACAAGAATTTATCTTTTGTAACATAACAAATTTTTACTGTCACTTTTGATCTATTTAAACCTTGCTAAATAAACATTAATTTTTTTCAATCATAAAATAAATAATTTCAAAAAATCTTACTGACCCTAAACTTTTGAAGAACTTTACAATAAGATCTCATTTGTTAACATTAGTTAGTGTATTAACTAACATGAACTAACAATGAGCAATACATTTGTTAATGTATTAGTTTTTGTTAATGGTCGTTGACTAATTGACTAATGTTAACAAATATTGTTACTTATAAGAGATTGGTATTTTGTGTGCATAGATGGTGTGGAAAATAGTTATATAATAGAATAAATATTTTATACTTGCATGTCGTTCAATTGGGCTTGATGTAAATAGGACTTAACTAATTAAATTATAAGTAATATAACTTATACTTTAATATAATTAAAGTATATTTTGAGTGAATTGTAAATTTGTTTCAGCTGGGTATGGACCTCCTTTATCTGCTGGCCGTGGGGCACCCGCACAACCTCCTTCTCCATTTAATGCATTTCTAGTTGCAGCGGCACCTACAGGGGGATTTGGGGCACCTCAGGGATACCCCCAACAGGCCTTTAGTGCACAACCTCAGTTTGGTAGGTGAAAGATCTACATTTTTACAGTATTAAGTAGGGATGCACCGATACCAGTATCTACCGCACTCATTTACTTGTACTCGGTCACAGACATCAGTGGAAAGTTTGTAGTTCGGTCGGATATGTCAATGGCAAAGAAAGTAAAACGAGGCATGTATTACTAAGGTTAACTGACGAGAGAGAGAGAACTTCTGTTGAATGCTCTTGATTGCTGATCGTTCACTCAGCACACGTGTCGTTTGGATTAAAACTAAATCGTAAGTAAAACATGAACTGTTACGTGATTTATGTATAACAAATGGTTGCCTATGTTCCCTAAGGACGTTTGCAGGTCAATAAGTTTCATAAACGCAAACATCCGAAGCGTGCGCCCAGAAAACGACATCTAGACAGTGCGCAAATAAAATGGAATTCTCTTTCACGTCTTGCGATTGAACGGACGAATTCACACAAAATTGATGTAAATTTTACATCATTTTACATATACGTCTGTCTTGGCGAGTATCCTGGTAAACATAGTCAGTTATATCTTAAAGGGCCCCTATTATGGATTTATGAAAATGACCTTTAATGTAGTGTGTAACATAGCTGTGAAGGAAAACATCCTGCAAAGTTTTAAATCTAAAAGTGCACCGTATATCCACCTTATTCCTGACGACCTTACTGCATTTTGAATTATGGGTGGCATTTCCGGTTTGGGGAACTTCCATTCAAAAAGGCTAAAACGAATCATTTCAAATCATAAGGTTGCCCTACAAATAAAGCTGATCCGTCAGTTTGACTGGATGAGCTGTCAATTTTCCTTTATTTTCAGACATCATGAGAATAACGTTATACTTGATATATTAACGTGACATGTTATAACAAGAATATCTATGGCAAGAGCTCTTTTCAGTCGCTGCTTTCTTTTCCTCATGATGATTTTTTTTTTTTTTTTTCTGCTGTAAAAGTAGTTTTACAACATAGCCTATACGGCACATTTGTGGTCTGTTCTCCCGAATTTAATTTACGATATTCCATTAATAATTCACTGGAATGCACAAAGAATCTCTGGTTATTCTCCTCAAATCCTCACGTCTCTTTCCAGGTTTGTTTTCACAGGTAAATGCAATTTATAATCTGTCAAAATGACGGAAATCACTTTGATATAGTGTCACGTAATGCTGAAGTTAAAGCTGCAGTCCGGCGTTTTTTCCTCTTTGTCGCCATCTCTGTTCGAAATCTGTAATTGCAGTCATTTGCGTAATTATCAACTTTACGCGAGTTGTACTTCAACACCCTCGAGACGGCACAGCGCAGATGAACACAATGTTTGAGGAGAGTGTGCAGCTGTCAGTCACCGCGCCGGTGTGGATACTGGCATTCAGAATCACAGATTATTCTTTTTGGAAGTATGACCAACATAACAATTTTCACTGGAAAATGTCATCTGAACTAGTAAGAAACATCCACCTTTGTTCTGGTTCTGACATTGCAGTAAATCGCGCTGATTAAATCTAACAATCGCTTATAAGTTATCATATCACCCAAAACCGTGCAAATTATACTTTGTTCTCAAATTGTTAATGTTAACAACGTCCGCATTGCGTGTCTCTTTTTTTCTGCAGCCTCTCCGAAGTCCGAACGAAGTCTTTTGGATTTTACAGCGAGTGAATCTGTTGTCACTGTTGAGTGTCGTTTGAACCTTTCTGGATCTGCCATCAAATTGATAAGTTTAATTATATCAAGTGCTGTGAGAAAAGGCTATAAATCTCCACCTCCAACATCCTCACACGCAATATAGCCGACTAGCGGAGACTCCTTATGTGTAGGCCTACAGATGTGACGTAATGACGCAAAGACATGCTCGAATCTCCCGCGGAAATCCACCAGTTCCACTGGAGTTAAATACATTATTACAAGCTTACCGCTTTGAATCGAGCTAAGGCAAGCAGATAGCGTTGAACACTGGCTGGTTATGTATTTTCTCAAATATGTATTTTGGATCATTTTTAACCCCAAAAAAGCTACGGACTGCAGCTTTAATGAACATTTTTGATTAAGGCTTGTTATACAATACAGATATATATTTGCCTACTACAGTGATATTTAATCAAAGACTCACGCTTTTGGGGCTATTTTTGGTTTGTTGAAAGTACCTTGTTGATGCTTTTACACTTTTAAATTTCATTTTAATGTTCGATGGTTGAAGGGTGAGTCGATTAATGTCATCTCATTGTGACACTTTTTTAACGTATTTTAGCCTTTCACTTATTGTTTACAGCTTAACGGAAGTTACACCCATAATTCGCGCAAAGCGTCATGGGGCGTAGGAATAAGGTGGATAAAGTTATTGTCTTTCAAAAGTAAGAGTCGACTCTGAGTCAATGAAATGAATCGTTTTTCAAACGAGTCATAAGCCGTTTCGTTGTGACGTCACGACGAAACATTAGCATATTGCCCGTCCACGTATTGCGCGCGCAGACTCCAGGGAAAACTTGAATCCTGTGGATAGTGGATAGCATCATGTCGAGAAGACCCTGTGCTCTACAATGTGAAGGTAGGCTAAAGCCAGTTTTTTTTCACCGCCAAAGGACGAGCATGTGAAGAATCAGTGGTTAAAATTAATCTTTACCACGATATCACAGCAGTGTAATCCTAAACTTTTGCGCTTTTCCCTTTATTTTACTGACGACTGCTTCTCAAATCTCTGAGTTAAATGCAGGATTCGCAAACCGCTTGCTCTCGAAACTGTTCCAAATACTTAGTTTTGAGTTTTATATTGTGTAGGTCTCCTGCTAACGGCTAACTTATGTTATCACTGTTTTACTCTAATACTTCTGCTGATCAGCTGTGGGCCACTATTACCTAAAACTGTGTCTATTAATGCAGATTATCTGTCGTTCTCACTACTTTGAGGAAAGATTAAGCATGGAGCAAGATTTGTTTTACCAACGTTTATGTTACATCAGTCATTCACGCTAGAGCTCGGCTAATGTATAAATGCATACATGTACTGTTATTGATACAGTTTCAACGTGTTCACCGCAATATATTAGAAAAATACTCTGTAAATATATAAGTACAAGTTAAATAATCGGTTTGTTGATGGACATGCACTTGTTAATGCTGATGGTGAGGTAGCAAACTGAGTAACGTTAGCATATCACTGAGAAACGTCCAGGAGTGCGTTTCCCGAAAGCATCGTTATCCAACTATGCTTGCTATTTCTATTGAACTCTATTGGTAACGACGGTACTTGCGACCATAGTTGGCTTTGGGAAACGCACCCCTGCTCGAGTTGTTCTTGCGATGGAGGTTCGGGTTTAATGAATAGTTCTTCCAGTGTTTCATCTTCGGACTCGCGCTCGCATTGATATGGTACAATCAACGTCATTGTTCGTTACTGTTTAGTTTACGGTGTAGGAAGCCTCAGGACAAGCAGAGCTGATGTTGTTATGGCAATTTGTTTTCGATGCGCTGTATGCGGTAGACCAATCACAACAGACTGAGCTGTCTGGCCAATCAGAGCAGAGTAGCTCGCGGAAAGGAGGGATTTAGAGAGATTGATTCATCTGACGAGTCGTTTGAGAATCATTGAAAATGTGGTGATGTGCAAATGTATATTATGAGGAAATTAAACCGTTTTTTGACCTTTGGTGCATGTAAACCTGTTGTAGGATACTCCAAAACAACATTAGGAAACTTTAAAATAGCATAATAGGGGCACTTTAATGAACACAAACAAAGAAAACGCATGTACGATATATTGGATCCGTGCCTTCGGCCTAAAAGGGACAGCAGCCTAATAAACCTGCTGATGTGCTTTTTACTGTTAATCAAGCTACAAAAGACAGAGTAATCACTGCTTTTGACTGAATAACATTTGTAACTTTATAAAGATTAATCTATATTTCATTTATACAATGATGAATATGCAGTATTATTTCACATTTGATCACTGTATTCAAATGATGTACCTGAAAACTACTGTTGGGCCTACCTGAGAAACACAAAAACAGCTGTTTATTTCATTTTGCCTTTTTTGTTCTGTTGTATTTATTTGTGCCATTTGTAATTTGATTACTTGTTCTTATTTTATTACTGACTGCTTACTTGTCTTTAATAATGTTTTAAATTTACGTTAATTAGGCTAGTAGTTTTTGCTGTAGAATCAAAATTGGAATAGATATTTGTGATCTATCACTAGACTAAATCTTCACTCAGGCGACTAAATAATGTCTATCATTAGCCATTGGCTAATAAATTCTTATATTTTACACGCCAGTGTGTGTGTGTGTTATGGCTAAGTATAAGTTTAGCATAGATATATATTCACTCACTGAATACTCTGACTGAGGGCTTGCAGTAGCTTTGCTGAGAGCTTTTAGTGTTTCTCTCACACACGCAAAGAGAGAGAGAGCGTGAGAGTCTTACATACCATGCAGAATCGACACGCTACATGTTAACGATATTCTTTGTTGTATTTTCCTGTCAAAATAAAGGAATTATTCAGCTTTTAAGAACATGCATGAGATATGCCGGTTATCTCATTGGCTGGCGCTCATCTATTACCGTCCCTGTTTTGATTTCAGCGAATCAGTTTGAGCGTACGCAGACAACGTGATTAATATTCATGAACCCAGTAGCTCATCAATCCTTAGTGCGTACTGTGCGTTATATATTGTTATTAGTATTATTATTATTATCTTTTAATACAGAAACTTTTAATTCTTTTTTTTTTTACAGAAACACTGAATGACAAACAATATCTTAAGCACCACCACCAGTCCTAAGTTCAGTTAAAATGACAAATATGCATTCATACATAGTTACCAAGTTTTAGTTCTAATTGCTAAAGTCCTATCATTAAATAGTGCTCGATTATCATAATATCATAATATAATGCTTGATTGACTGATGTTAAGAGTGTACAAACGTTCAGATATTTAAAAAGCTGTGCCATTTTACAAAGATAAGATGATTTGGTGTAATCATATATATATATATAGCCTATGTATTAAAATAAAATAAAATGGTATTTCAGTCTGTCGTGTAAACTAAAAAATGTACTTGCCAATGGTTTGGTTGGTATTGGACTCGTCTGGAAAAAGTGGTAATGGTGCATCCCTAGTTTCAAGACTCGTTCACACCAAGAATGATAACTATAAAGATAATGGTAAAGATACAGTTCTAAAAATAAAAGAGTAGCAGAGTCCGAAAAACAATATAGTTTGTTGGAATTACTTTCAGAACGTTTTTTTTTTTCCAGTTGATAAATGATAAAAACATTGACAGCCAATCAGAATCCATTCTGCTTTAAAGAGCTCGAGCATTTAACGCAGCAGAAGACAAAACTGCAGCATTTGCTTAGAATAAACGATGATGTCGTCTGCTGGTGTCGCTAATATAGTTATCATTCTTGGTGTGAACAGGCCTTTGCGTTGTTGGACATCGATGTGACCCGATGGCTCTGGTCGATCATTAAATACCGCAGTAATTTTAGCCCCAAATTAAAATTTCTTGTATAAAATATAAATATGCAATGTGAATGGGAGATTAAAAGAACTGAAACAAGATTGTAATGATTCCTGCATAACTTTCCTTATGTCTTTATTATCATAGGATATACCTTTGGAACTCCTCAAGGTGACCAGTTTGTAGCACAGGGAATGCCTCCCCCTCCCTCCACGCCGGGCGCAGGGCCTTTAGGTTTTGCCCCGGCTACGACTCCCTCTCAGGACCTGAGCAAAGCCGCCCCAGCACAGCCAGACTTCTCCTACAGCCAGTATGGTAAGAGCGCACTGAAACGCAGCAACAAACCACTGCAGATGTGCTGTAGCTGGGGTTCTGTTCACACGTCTGAACGGGCATGATGACATCACATACACGCGCTTCCACGCAGACCCTCTGTCTATTTACCATCAATCAAGACCTTTAGATTTAGATTTTTGGTCTGTGGAGGTTTATCCAGTGGTATGTGTGAATTAGATCATCCTGTACTGCAATGCTGCTTTTGACCCGATGACGCTTCATCTAACGCAGACGAGGGTTTTCATCTGTAGATGTTGCAGCGTTGGATGGTGGCGGTGCCGATAGGATGAAGTAAAGTTGCAGTGCATGTGAGATTTTTTGAGGTAGATTTAACTTTAGACATATTGACCAAGTATAAGATATACACTCAGAATGTCTCTTGGTGCAGATGCTGACAGTACATACAACATCTAGAGCATCCATTAGACTATAGAAAATAGAACTGACTCTACTGATATAGTCATGGACCCCTATTCTTTAGAAATGGCCAGAGCTAAAAGCATCTGGAGGTCAGTGAGATGTGTGACATGGTACATTTAGTGGTGTTGCTAAGGCAGCTATTACTACTACAACAACAAACCTCTAACCTCTAAGTATTACATTTTGGCACATAATTCATCCTGTACCATTTGTGCTATAAACCTGAATGATGCCTTCAATCATGCAGCATGTTGAGGACAGGTGTGCTATTACTTTTCCAAGCTATTAGACTTAAATAAAACCTATACTTGCACTTAAAGGAATTGTTCACCAAAAAATTAAGATTTTGGTAACGCTTCCTTTTACAGTCCTGTTACCCATGTACATACTATGTACTTATTATAGTAATTAAAATTACTGGGTAATAACTAGGTACTAACCCTGAACCTACCCCTAACCCATGTACTTAACTTATATTAGCCAGTACTTTCTAGGTAAGTACACTGTAAGTACACGTAAGTACTGTACTGTAAAAGGAAGCGTTACCAAGATTTTTTCATCATTTACTCACCCTCATTTCACTCCAAAGAACCCAAAAGAACATATTCTGAAGAACAGTTCTGGTGACATGGACTTCTATTGTATAAAAATATCTTCTTTTATGTTACACACATTTGGAGCGACATGAGGGTTAGTAACTGATGGCAGAACTTTCTTTTTGAGGTGTATAGATTCATATCTAGGCACAAAAAACCCTCTCTAGAAAACTCAATAACAACTAGTGCTGCCCCAGACTACAGATTTTTCTAGTCGACTAGTAGTTATTCATTTAAAGGGCTGGTTCTCCCAAAAATGAAAATATTTACTCACCTTCAAGCCATCCTAGGTGTATATGACTTTATTCTTTCAGCCAAACACAATCGAGTTATATTTAAAAATGTCCTGGCTCTTCCATGCTTTATAATGGGAGTGAATGGTACCTGAGATTTTGAAGACCAAAAACGTGCATCCATCCTTCATAAAAGTACGGCTCCAGGGGGTAACAAAGGCCTTCTGAAGCGAAGCGATGCGGTTTTGTACGAAAAATGTCCATATTTATAACTTTATAAACTATAATCAGTGGCATCCGGAAACGGTCATACGCGAATCGAGTTCTGATGGAAGAGTGACATGTGACTCGACGGCATTACTGGAATGTGGAAGGTGTCTTTAGAGAGAAATGTTAAATGTCATGCAGTGAGGACTGCACTAATTTATCTTCCACTTCTAGCCCGACATAATAACCACATGGACTAGCCTGTGCCTGTGACTGTGGGACTTCTCCACTTCCTGTGGAGTTTCATTTCTGCGACCAAACCGACCAATTAAAATTTGACCGCTTAAGCCTCTTTAGGACTACTAACGTTTGGTCGACTATAAGGGGCAGCCCTACTAGCAACCACTCAGAAGAACTTAGCAACCACTAAGAACACCCTAGCTACTGCATTGCACCTCGCTAACAGTCACTGTCATCTTTGCAACCACATCCTAGCAACCACTCAGAACACTGCGTACCTTAGCAACCTCCAAGAACACCCTAGCAACTGCATTGCACCTCGCCAGAGCCATATAGAGAGAGAGTTGCGACAACGGAAGTTCTAAATGCTTGGTTGTCACGTGATTCGCGGAGACCTCAGATAGTTCCAGGAAGTGCTTCGGCGCCAATTCAAATCGATGGAGGTAGAGAGCTGAACTGTGATTTTTGGTAGTTTGTAGTCAATAAATGCGTTGGCTTACAATATGTATATAATACATTGACATTTGGATGTAGTATGTGTATGTAGTTACAGCAATATTGTTTTTAAAAGATAAAAATCTGCTGATATTTAATGTTTATTGTGGTCAACCAGTGTTGCCTGCCTTTGTTAACATATTTTCTGGCTAACTTTAACTTACCTTGGTTAAAGACCGTTTTGCAGTTGTTTTGAAGTATTTTTGTGTTCTTAAACTTGTATGTTATTTAATTTATTTAATGTTCACTATGGTTTCACAAGGACAGGAGACTTGCAGGACACAGGTGATTGTCTTAAAAAGCCATTGCAAACAAGTAAAATGTAAAATTGCATTCATCGTAATGTTTACAATGCTTATGCACTTATTACTATATAAATGAATACATAATATATTTAATTTTAAAACAAAACATGATTATACACACACACATACATTATTTTCTAAGTGTCCAAGTACATTATTTCCTTAACATAATTTGATCAATTCATGACATACATCACTTTAATCTATAAAACCTATTTAGTTTAAATTCATTTTTAGTACATTTAGATAATACATATTTTATGTTTTGTTATCTTAAACCCCCCAAAATGTCAGGTTGTGTAACTGTCCGCACAAATGAACAGACTAAAATACTAATTTAAATGGTGTTTTAATCATAAAAAAATAAAAATTAAATTCTATGGTATTATTTTAACCTTTCATATAAACAAATTTTATACATTTCAGTAGATTTATAGCTGATAATTGAAAACCTTTTGTCTAACAATTTGTATGTCAGGGGGGCACAACTGCAAACATGGCTCTCTTATTATGGTAATTGCAGTGTGCATGATAATGCATTGTCCAGAGGAGCCATAATGATCCTTGTAGATCTCTATCAAATACTGGTAATTGCTTTAAAGTTATGGGTAGGTTGGTACACTTTCAGGTGAATTTAAACATTTAGAAATGTTCACAACTGAAACTTGTTCAAATACATTGTTCATGACACAAAAATATACATTACATCAGTTTTGAAAAGATTTAAAAAAACATTTCTTTGTTTATTTGTCAATGACCTATATATATAGTTATATAGAGGTCTATATATAAATAGGATATATATAGGACTCTATATGTAGGACTCTATATATAGAGTCCTGTATATAGAGGTCATTGACAAATAAACAAATAAATGTTTTTTTAAATCTTTTCAAAACTGATGTAATTTGTTTATTTGTCAATGACATATATACACTTTTGCACTGAATTAGCACAATGGGATTTATAAATGTCTAATAAACTGCACGTCAAGCATGTTGTCTGGCCTTTCCTCTATGTTGTCAGACACAGAAAATATGCTCAAGTCAGGAGCAATCTAAATAGAACTAATCATTTTTTGTGCTAATCATACTTAGGTGTATCTGCACTTTTTCCACAAAGACCAACACTGGGAAGTTTAATGTTTATTAAAAATAGGGAGCAAGTAAAGTCTTGCAAAATCCAAGGAGCTGAGATTGATGAGGGTACAGCGTCAGTGCAGGAGTCTTCAGGATCCACCGAATCCTCTTTGTGCTTCTTGTGTTGAAAGAGATAAAGGAAACAAAAACGGGATAAATTTTATATATAGGAGTTAGTATATAATACAGTTATGGTATTTATAATACCCCATTTAGCCTAGTGTGATTTGATCTAGAACACGCCTTGCTGCCGTTTTAAGCATGTTTTTAATCTTACTTATAAACTTCCATCTCCCTTTCCCATCAATACAAATCAGCTGAGCTAAATCATAATATAGAAAGGTAATAGTCAACAGAAACACAATGAATAAAAAACGCCAACCATACGTTTTTCCTTACTCAAATATGAAATCTAAAATAAGGATTTTTCCCCGTTATTGCACATTTAATATGGAATGAAACCGATATTCTCATTTTATCAATTACAACTATCACACTCCCCAATGCTATATTTAACCTCTGTTTAGAAGTATTTCCCTCTTATTATACAACAAAGGATAAACATGCATTAATAGAACAGGTTTAAACATTAATATGCTGTTCGTGGTTTGTTATGCGGTACTAACTTTATCCAATGACCTTTATTTTACCTGATAACGTCCCCTAAAACTACTAATTTAGAGAGCAATAATCAACTAGCATGCTTTAATACAGTTAAAGTTACAAGTTAATTTGATTCAGATGTACTGATAATATACAATCTTATTCTTTAAACGTCTTACCTTTTAAAAGTGCATCACAAACGGTCTGTTCTGCTGTAACTCTACCGCGCTGCTGCTACTTCCGGGAACTATTGAGAGGCTCCGCGAACCGCCATTGCTGTAAAAAAAACCGTTCCATTGGAGTCAATGGAGTTGTCGCAACTCTCACTCTATATGGCTCTGCACCTCGCTAACAGCCACTGTCATCTTTGCAACCACATCCTAGCAACCACTCAGAACACTGCGTACCTTAGCAACCACTAAGAACACCCTAGCTACTGCATTGCACCTCGCTAACAGCCACTGTCATCTTTGCAACCACATCCTAGCAACCACTCAGAACACTGCGTACCTTAGCAACCACTAAGAACACCCTAGCTACTGCATTGCAACTCGCTAACAGCCACTGTCATCTTTGCAACCACATCCTAGCAACCACTCAGAACACTGCGTACCTTAGCAACCACTAAGAACAACCTAGCTACTGCATTGCAACTCGCTAACAGCCACTGTCATCTTTGCAACCACATCCTAGCAACCACTCAGAACACTGCGTACCTTAGCAACCACTAAGAACACCCTAGCTACTGCATTGCAACTCGCTAACAGCCACTGTCATCTTTGCAACCACATCCTAGCAACCACTCACAACACTGCGTACCTTAGCAACCACTAAGAACACCCTAGCTACTGCATTGCAACTCGCTAACAGCCACTGTCATCTTTGCAACCACATCCTAGCAACCACTCACAACACTGCGTACCTTAGCAACCACTAAGAACACCCTAGCTACTGCATTGCAACTCGCTAACAGCCACTGTCATCTTTGCAACCACATCCTAGCAACCACTCAGAACACTGCGTACCTTAGCAACCTCCAAGAACACCCTAGCAACTGCATTGCAATGCTTACAAGCTCTCTCATGTTTGCAACCGCACAGCGGAACGGTTACCACTCAAAGGTCTTACCAACCCCCATAGCAATGTCCTAGCAAAGGCCCTAAACAACTTAGCAGCTGCAAACTTTGCAACCACCAAGAACACTCTAGCAACTGCAATTTTTTTAAAGTGTGACCTGCCGATAGCGATTCTTTCAAAGAACTATAATTAACTGCATTTACAAACAAAAATCTACTTTTCTACAATGCACAATTGTATTTTCATAAAAAAAAACAAGTAAAAAGACAGTAATAAAGTAAGAACAAATAAGCAAATTTCAAACAACAGCACAAATACATTTAATAGAATACAGAGAGATATGAAATAAACACGGCTTTAATTTCTTCCAGGTGGGTATACAGTAGTATTCAGGTAATACATACTACAGAAATTAACGTGATCAAATGTAAAATAACACTGGATAGTAGGGGCCATATATCGTTGTCCTTCTCCGTGTGATACGATAATCGATATAGTGGCGCCAAATATCGATATTTTAATGAATAAAATAAGGTGCTCTGAATAGATTTCCCTGCTCCCAGCGTCGCTACTTCATGGCTTCTCGAGGTGGTGCTCAACATGAATGAGGGAAACGTGAACATAAGTTAACTAGCCTAAGAAAAAGGGGTTTTTAACGGGATGGCGGTTGAAACACTGATTAAGCGATTACATGAGACATGATACATTCATTAAGTTGTACTTTCAACATATCTTTTGATGTTCATGCATGTTTTCATGCTATAACTATTAAAGTAGAAGAAAAGTCTTGCGCTCTGCGTTAGAACTGAAGCGCTACAGCGATTTGTCACTTCACATTTAAGAGCATCAAAACACCATTTATTTGTTTGAATTTTCTGACAGAATTTAAAAACTGGGACTTTGTTTCTTATCAAAAGTAGCAAAGCACAAAGCTCTTTGCAATTATCGGATGGAAGGCGCGCTACAAATAATGTTTGGTGTAGGGAAAAAATGCGAACCTGGCAACCCTGGCTTGAACTACGGGTGATTCATAGGGTCAAATAGAGCCTGCTTTAACGTTGCTATTTTTTTAACTGTTAATGCGCTAATGTCACGCTAGTGTCGCGTTAACTCTGACGGACCTAAATTCAACACGAGACATTTTATTCACACGCAGTACGAGTTGCAGTCTGACACGTTTTCCCACCCCCTTTATATAGACGGAATATTATCGTCCCTGATCATCGGCTGTTTTTAAACAATCGGTCGTTAGCTGATAGTGAAAATAATTGCTTTTATCGGTTATACCGATTATTGGCCAATACATCTGTGCATCCCTACTAACAACCACTCTTGTCTTTGAAACCACATAACATCCTAGCAACCACCCAGATAACCTTGCAAAGCACATAGCTTAATCCTAGCAACCACCCAGGTCACTTTACCAGCTAGAACACCTTAGCTAACATATACTTATGCTACCACCCAGATCACTCTAACAACTGCATACCTTACATACTTAACTGTCTAGTATTGTGCTTCACAAAATATACAAGTTTAGTTATTGTGGGATGCTCAAATTAATATCAATCTGAGAGGTAAAGATGCGGCTGTATTCCATAATCGGTATTGAAAATGTCAGGTAATGATTTGAAAGAGCGTCATGCCTGAACGATCAAGGAAGTCTTTAAACCCAAATTAGTCCTTATCTCTATGGTTGATCTTAACATAGCAGTTTTCTTTGCATCACTGGGGTTGACGTACATTAGAGTGCTATTAGCGTGAAGGTCAGGCTGTCTGTATGTATGGCTGGTGTTACGAGACGGTCTCATCAGCCGCTTTGTCACGCCTCTGCTTCGCTTCCATTCATCAGCAGCTCGATGGCCTGATACACATGCTCATTTAGAAACATCCACATGTTCTGTTCATGAGCCCTGAGAGCAGGAGAGGGCAGCGTTCTCCTGGGTAGGAGCTGTAAGGTAGTAGTTAAGTCAGACTCTGTCAACCTGGTCTCCTCATCTCCCTGCTAGGCTTGGGTAACTATCCTCAGGACCCTTCTGCCTACGGACCAACGCGTCCTTCTCACACTTATGTACAGGAAGAGCAGGGATATAGCGCAGGTAGGTGAGCAACTGCATCCTACTATCACTCAAACCCAATAGATCAAGCATCAACAGCCTGTGGACCCATAAGGCTTCAGTTCTGTTTCTCATGCATCCCATGTACAATATGCATATGCTGTATGCGTATTCTACATCTGTTTGAGGCATCTCTTCGGTTTTCCATGAGATATACTAAAGTACAGCTACATGTCATTCAGGGGGCCTCAAAAGACGCACGTTTAAATCAAATAAACTCCATTTTCGTGTTTTCTTTTGATCTGAATCTCCTGTGCAGCGTCTCTAGGCAGCATTGCAACTCGTATGGCTTGTAGCTGTGGTTTACTATATGGAAAAAACAGACGGCTTGCTTCAGATGTTCTTTTTTCAGTCACTGCATTGCTTTGCTGCTAAAAGGATGATCTAATGGTGTCTCTACTGGGTTTTCTGTGGACTCTGTAGTCTGTCCCCCTCGTGCAGCGTGCGACAGTCACAGCTGAACAAATCTGTACGGATTCGGCGAATTCTTTGACTCTTAAAAAGAATCCATTTCTCTTCATTTGTGCTCATGTAGTCTTATGTTTCACTTTCATCTAGAGACTTTCGAATAAACTCTTTCCAAAATGCATTACTGCCTGGGTATTTCTGCTATTGTTTTTTCTTCCAGAATGCTCATGTTTTCATGACCACCATACCTTTTATTTTTTAGATGTTTTCTATTCAGTTATTTGTTTCTGTTGTAAATATATCTAAGATATTTTGGCCACGTACACACTGCAGAGTTGCTGCTTTTCAAAGTGAATTTACTTCATTATGAGTCTGTGTGTGTAATGGTGTGTTCACACCGAACGCGAATAGAGCGTCAAATACGCGTCTATCGCGTCTAGTTAGACGCTTAAACATTCGCTCGAGTTCAAATTTTTCAACTTGCGCGGAAGACATTCGCGGCAAACGCGTCGCCCAATTCGCGTCATTCGCAACGGCCGGCGCGAATGATGCGTCTATTCGCGTCTTTGCATTGACTTTGTATGTAATCTACTCGCGCAAATAATTAAATTCTCGTTCGGTGTCAACACACCATAATGGGGGCGACGCGTTTGCCGCGAATGTCTTCCGCGCAAGTTGAAAAATTTGAACTCGAGCGAATGTTCAAGCGTCTAACTAGACGCGATAGAGGCGTATTTGACGCTCTATTCGCGTTCGGTGTGAACACACCATAAGGAATTGACGTTGCGATAACCACAGCAACAAGAAACATGGATGCCAAGTTCAATCTGCTCAGTGTTGCCCATGTTCAACCAAAGTAATATTAGCAAGAAGTAAAACTACATATAAATAATTAATAAAAAACACCATTGATTAGAATCTTTCAGGAGTGAATTTGGTTGTTAGAATTAGACATTTCAGTTGTCTTTGTTGACAAAACGGGATTGAGTACTCATAAACCCAAAGTGTACTTCTGTTTTAACGCGAACCCTTAGCGTATGCGTACAGCAGAACCCTTTAAAGTATACTCCATTTGGCACTCCATGCATACTAGAGGTTTTATCCTTGTCTCTGCATAAGTAATGACCGATAAGAAATGTCTTTGTTCTCGTTTAAACTGGAGTTGCGGGTATCTGTTAACCCTTCACACAAGCGCTCGTTATCAGGCGTGTATTGTTGTTGGGGCAGTGGGGGAGTTATTCGAATAATTATACATTGTGCATTTTGAGCTTTTATGAGAAGCGTTAAGTTCCTGTCCAAAACATGCAACTAGGACCAGTTATCTGCGCTACTTACGCGGAAATCTTTGACTCTTTTTCACTAGTGTGCTCTAAAAGTTTGATTTGTGAGAGATGCTCCTATCACGACACTGATGATAAAATGTGCAACTTATTTGAATTCTATTAAGAATTTATTACTTTAAAGTACTACGTAGAAAGTCTAAAACAGCCACATAATCTAAAAAGACCTTGCTCCAACATAAATTAGAAGGCTTTTTAAACTACTTTATTCTAGTAGCAGAAATTTTGACTTCTAAATAGTGTGATATGGGAATAGTTTTTTCATATATTAAAAAAAAATAGACAAGCTAATTAGTGCAAAAAAAGTGCAAGGTGCTTGTGTGAGTTGAGCGATTGGAAAATATTTGGCCCTGTTTACACCTGTATTAAGATGCATTTTGGTCGATCGGATCACAAGTAGACGAGGGAGACGCAAACCCGTTTACACATTCGACCACACACTATGAATGCGTTTTCGACTACCTCTGGAAGCGGTATCTTAACACCAGGTGTAAACTTTGCCCGTACAAAATGCACATACTTTGCTGATGATGACATTTACATCACAGACACTGTACATGTCCCTTAGCGTACATATAAAAACAAGGTATACTTTGGGCTTAAGAGAAGTGACGACTGTAGCCGTGTGTACGTGGCCTTTGTCTTGAGAAGAACTGACGAGGGGTTGCGAGAGATGCCCAGAAAGCCTAGTCGCATGTTCTCGTACTTTGTAGTTACTGGTGTTTAATATCACTTTCCATGTTTTCATGTCTGTTGAGACAGGTTATGGGCAGGACCTGAGTGCTTTTGGTCATAGCTTTGCAGACCCCAGCCAGCAAACTGCCTCATACGCTGCAGCCCCGTCCGCACCGTCAGGAGCTCCAGCGGCAGCCGGCAGCTTCGGCCGAGGGCAGAACCATAACGTCCAGGGCTTCCACCCCTACCGGCGCTGAGCTCCTCCCCACCCACCCAATGCAATACTCATCGTCAGGGATATGGACGTTTTGAGCGCAAGCTGAGCTGGATTTTTGGGATTGTCTTTCTGAACATTGCAGAGTAAAATAAAAGGTTTTATTGTGTGTAAATTGTGAACAGGGGCTCTACTCCGATAACAGGAGACCACAGTACTCTTCTATATTTTGTAGTCGGACTGAACTACTGAAGTATTTAGCAATAGTTTTGGACTGTCTGGTCAAACATCAGCACAGAACAGACGTACCAGACGTCGGCGACAGGGTCTCCCAATTATTCAGCTTTAATTATATTAGTGGGGAAATGTTTTTATTTTCAATTTTGTGAATTTTGTTTACTCTTTTACCGTTTTATTTAAGTTGGAAATAGATTACAAATGTGTATTATACACCTAAACTGTGCAATTTTTTAAAGAATTTTGTACTAATATATGTGCGCTTTTCTTGTTTTTTTATTTAAGAACGTAGACTTCCCTCAGGTGGCTGTTAGTGCACTTTTGCACTTATGCAAAAAAGAAAAAAAACACACAAAAATGAGAGTTTATTTGAAATAAATGATTTAAAGAAACATTGTTGTGCAAATTCATTGAGGTAACAGACTTTAGAAATGAATCTGTTCACTTTCAAAGACACATGAACTTATTAAATGATGAAGTATTATAGGAGTGTACACAGTTTAATATGTCATCATCCTAATATTATATTACAGTAAGTATATTACAGTTCACATGAAATTCAACATCAAGATTCCTTTGAAGATTATATGAAAGTACAGTATATAAGAAAGTGTAAGTCACGAGTGTTTCACCTTTTCAATCACTATTTTAGATTCACTTGGTGTGACATTAATTATTAGAAGTACAAATATTCTTTGAGCTCATAAATAATATGAGGTCATAAAAGTTGAATGCATGATAACTATTAAAATAAAAAGGACCAAAATGCTGTTTAAAATAGTTACAGAATAGCATGTCATACCACAGACCGTCAACTTCCCAAAAGTAAAACTACAGTACTGGGCAAAAGTTTGTAAACATGACTATTTTTTAAAGTTTTTGAAAGAAGCTTATCAAGCCTGCATTTATTTGATTAAAAAACAGTAATATTGTGAAGTATTATTACAATTTTAAATAATGGTTTTCTATTTTAATATACTTCAAAATATTGATTTCTGTGATGCAAAGCTGAATTTTCAGCATTACCGTTTTTTGTATCACATGATCCTTCAACCAGAAATCATTCTAATATGCTGATTTGATACTCAGTTATTATCAATGTTGGAAAAGTTTCGGGATTAAATGGTGAATAAAAAGTTCAAAAGAACAGCATTTATTCAGAATAGGAATCTTTTGTAACAATATAAATCTTTATTATCACTTTTTATCAATTTAACACACACTTGCTAAAAGTATTCATTTTCATTTCTATTCTTTTTTATATATAAATAAAAAGTATATACATACACACACACAGAGTATGTATGAGTGTGTGTTTGTGTGTAGGCTACTCATTATATTTTCCTGAAAGTTTCACTGGTACCAGAAATCAGAAAACAATATTGAATTTACTCTGTTCTAAAGTCTTCAAACCAGTTATTTATTTATTTATTTATTTTTTACATGTTTTTGTCTCTTATGCTCACCAAAGCTGTTTATATCAAAATACAGTTAAAACAGTAATGGTGGGAATTATTACTTTCACAAGTAATTTATTCTTCAGTCTTCAGTGTCACATGATCCTCCAGAAATCATTCTAATGCTGATTTGGTGCCCAAAATAGATTTATTATCATCAATGTTGAAAACAGTCGTGCAGCTTAATTATTAATGGAAATCCCAGTCTATAGGAAACCCTTATACATTTTTCCTGCAGTCTTTGATGAATAGAAAGTTCAAAAGAATTCAGAAATGTAGCTGTTCTAAGATTATAAATGTCTTTGCTGTCAGTTTTGATTAATTTAATGCGTTCTTGCTGAATAAAAGTATTAATTTCTTTTCTTTTTTTAATCCTCCAGACCTTACTGTTAAGCACAATTTCATCAGCAATGCCTCAGTGCGTAGATTTCTTGTTTTAACTGATAAAATATTGATTGCATTATTAGCCTAATTGATTTGCTCGAAATAAAACCGCATTCTCATTTGATGTCAGCGTAAAATAATTATTTGTCCTCCTCTCCGCCAGGTGGATACTGACTAAACTCGTCATATATTCACTGAACTCTCGCGATATTACTGCGTCTCTCCGGCCTTCTTCCTTTTCCGGGAGTCTCTCAAGATGGTAGGTTCACGTCGTATTTGTGAATAACTAAACTACAATAATCCAAACGAATCTTCTATACATAGGATGCATATCAGAGTAGATAATATCAAAAAGGCATATTTAGGAATTGATTCATGTTTTCGGGCCATTATTTTTCGCCTGGGATGAATGTTTAGATAGATGTTCGTACGATTAGTAGCTTCAGTCTTGCGGTCCAGTTCTCAGTCCAGCGTGATGGGATTCTCAGGACTGTTAGTTTTTTTATGTCCCTGCGTAACGTGATTAAGTAGGAAGCTTTTTAATAATTTGAGCAGTCACTGTTTATCTGTTGGTTAAGAAGCTAGCTGTCAAGTAAGGCCCGTGTAAAGCTGACGGTGGTTGTGATTCCCACAGGCGGACGCTGAGCAGAAGAAGAAGCGCACCTTCAGGAAATTCACCTACAGAGGTGTGGATCTGGACCAGCTGCTGGACATGTCCTAGTGAGTCGAGCCTCTGTCGCTTCACATTAAGTGTAACGTTAAAGGTTCCAGGGAAAGTGTCAAGTTAACGAATGAGTGAGGAGAGAAGCAAGGAGTCGGTCACCAAAATGGCATTTGTCAATAAAATAACTCATTGAAAATTACGGTTCTCGCCGTTTCAAAACTGACTTTCTTGTGAGGAAACAAAAAAATATTTGGTGGAATGGCCTGGCTGTTCTCTATAAGCTTGTTTCTGCCACGGAGTGGAAAAAAAAAAAGGTCACTGACTTCATCTTGCAATTCGGATTGGTTAGCGCATTAAGGAACAGATTAATTCTAATAGGAAACGTCTGAATTGAAAACTAGGACTGTCACTAGCGAATATTTTGGTAACATAAACAAGTAATCGGTCGATTATTATGACGAGTAATCGGTTATTTTTTTGTGTGTGGTTCTAAAAATAGACCCAAGCAATCAATAGCATTTAAAGGGACTTAAAATACATTGAGGCAAAAATCAAATGATCGTATGGTTTAATAGAACCACTGTTAAAATTCATAATGTAAACAATTAACTTGTGTACATTGTGTATTATAACAAATGCCTGCAGAGAGCACCAACTCCCTTGTGTTACACTTCACAGCAGATCAAATCCTTGTTTAATATTGGCCAAACTACATTCAAATGTTTCCCTAATCTTTAATATTTGGCCACTTTACGATAGAAATGCTACAGCCACTAACTTGTACAAGAATGTGGACAACTGGACATCAAAACATGCAAATTTAGAGCGAGGGTTTAAACTTAATTTGAAATCGCGATGAACAGTGTGTTAATTTTTGAAAGGTATTGACAGCCCTAATAAACATACAATTCTGACTTTTTATTTCTTTGTAAGTGCGAGAAAGACCTTTTTTTTTGTAGCAGTTTCTGAAGGAAAAAGTCAAAACTGAGATGTAAAATCTTAATTCTGAGAAAGTCAATTGCAAGATGGAAACTCAGAATTCTGAGAAAACAAGTAAAAATTGGCAAAGCACCATAAAAGTCCTTATTACCAGTGCGCCAATGTCAATACTTTTAGTTTAAAAAGCTCAAACACCTCTACCACAGCTCAAATCTCGTTGGTGTATAGGATGAAATGTGATGTGGTTCTGTTTCCACTCTAAATTCTATACTTGTTTTTTGCCAATGTTTTAAATTCAAGTGTCATTATCAATGATCTAATTGTGTTTGTATAGAAATATTGTTGATTAAGCTTGTTTTTTTTTCATTAGTGAGCAGCTGATGCAGCTCTACTGTGCCAGACAGAGGAGGAGGCTGAACCGTGGCCTCAGGAGGAAGCAGCAGTCTCTCCTTAAACGCCTCCGCAAGGCCAAGAAGGAGGCGCCTCCCATGGAGAAACCAGAGGTGGTGAAAACTCACCTGAGAGACATGGTCATCCTGCCGGAGATGGTTGGGTCCATGGTTGGCGTGTACAACGGCAAGACCTTCAACCAGGTTGAAATCAAGGTGGGGATGAATCATGCACTGTTAAAAGTTAAAAAATATGTACTAACAAAAAAGTAATTTCAAGGACTCGCCCTGAATCCCACAAAGCCATTAAATAGGACTGACATTGTCTTCAGTGCTTAATTTTTCTTTATAAATATAATGAATTTACAAGATCCAGCAGGCTGCAGCTAATGGTGTGTGTTTGGTCTGTTTTTCAGCCTGAGATGATTGGTCATTACCTTGGAGAGTTCTCCATCACATACAAGCCTGTTAAACACGGTCGTCCCGGTATTGGAGCCACTCATTCTTCCCGCTTCATTCCTCTGAAGTAAAAATTGACTGTAAATAAAAGCCTCCAAAACAGCCTCTGATTTTGTCTTTTCTTTTTTTGCATAAAAGCTGCATTTATATATTAACAATGGTTCTGTTTCTCTGCTTATCTGTATGAATGCCTTGATTCCAGGGCTTGTTTTTGACCTCAGGGATGACTTCAAATTACTGCCCATGTTTTTGTATGTTGGCACAAATTCAGTTTTTGGTTGGGTAGCAAAGTTGTTTAAAAGTGAAACACTAACTGTTTGTTTGAATACTGATTGAATGATGCATTCTTTAATCATATTAAACCTAGAATATTACTGGATTTTTTTTTTACTTGAACTAGTTCTTTCACAACATGCAATACAATAGGTAGCCTATCAAAGACTGCATTTGTGCTTCATATTAAGTCTCTCTCTTTTAGAATTCATGTGGGCTATGTGTAGGTAGGCTAATGTCTGGATGTGAAGCAGACCCTTTCAATCACCCTTTTAACAGTAATTCAAAAGGCCTGGAGTACTCTCAACAAAAAGACTAAACCTATCAAATAATAAATAAATTCTGCTTTCCACCACAGCTCAGGAATAGACATCAGCTGATATTAAACTAAATGCACAAAATAGATCCAACTATTTACAGCAAAGCACCCATAGTAATGCTATTTTTGTGAATTTTGAATATTTAATACTGAGATCACTTGTGTGTAACATTTTTGAGCTGACATACCATTTTGTCCTATTACATAGACCCATGGTAGACATAAGAATGCAAACCATTTGAATAGGCTGGTGTTATCCGATTGTAAAGAAAATAAAGCATCCTCTAAGAAACCTCATCTCATTCAAAAGCTGGAAATAGTTAACCACTCTGCTCTGGGACACGCGTCCCTCTGAGCGTTTCCACAAGTCTGTTTGTTGAAGTCATACATAGACCAACTGGCAAATATCCAAGGACATCCTACATTCAAATTGTTCCATTAAATATGTCCCACATGGAAGAGCCGAGCAAATTTAACACCTTTAAATGTATACCGTAACTTTAGCTATTTCTTGCCCTTAGATCTGATGTCCACTGGGGCCTCTGTCCTGCTGCAGATGGTTTTTGGTGCAGTTGTTGGTCTTGTTAAGTTTGGCTGAGATTTGGAGGGTGACTTAGGGGCAGTTTTTGGTCTTGCTGTGTCCTCTGGAGGTTTGGTGGTGGTCTTTGTGGGGGCTGCTTCCTGTTTGGGTTTCGAGGCAGTTGCAGGCTGCCACAGGAAAAATTCATGTAAGAGAGTATTAACTATATCAGGGCACTCCATCATGACCATGTGACTTCCGTCATCAATGACCTTCAAGAACCCCAGCAAGAGTATCTACAAGAAGGATAGTAAAGGAGGAAAGAGTTATTGATATGTTTTTGCTCACCAGCTTACCAAAATATTTAAAATATCTGTGGAATCTCTAATTACAGGAGGAAAAAGACACAACTTCATGGATAAGACCCAAAGCTTGGACCACAAAATCATTGTACCTCTGCCATGCGCTGGTCCTCTTGTACTGGTACAAACTTGTCGTACATGCCGTGAACCAGCAGAACAGGCACTGTGATTTCAGCGTGGTAGACCTCATCCCCCTCCGGCCAGTACTGACCACTCATCATGGACCGCAGAACGAAGGAAGACACATTGAAGGCATTGTTCTCTTTTAGTAGCTTCTTTTCTCTTGTTCCCTGATGGGCAAATCCAGCCCTTATAGAAAGAAAAAGACAACATTAAATGAAATGGACATGGTGGTTGCCAAACATAGATACTCGTGTTCAAGCTGGCAAAAGGCAAGGCAGGGACAATATGTCCTGCTTACAATTATTCTTACATGAGGAAACTCCAGGTGAGGCACGGGGACAGGAAATTAAGGACACACGTGGGCAAGTTGAAGACAGAGCAGAGACTGGGCTCAAGTGCTGTTGGACCTCCACCATTAATCATCACAACTTTATGAACTTGTTCCGGATACTCGTGAGCCAGGAAGGTACAAAACGAGACACTGCTCAAAGAAAGAAAATGCTCAAATTAGTGGGAAAATGTATCTGCATTTACCAGGCAAATGAGTACATTTGCGGACCATTTCTCACCCATATGAGTGTCCAACTAAAATATTCCGCCTCTTTGCATATCGCTTGAAGATGATTCTAACGTCCTCAGCCAGAGCGTAAAAGGTATAGGCAGCAGGGATCTGAGGGGCTGAACTTGCACCATGGCCGACCAAGTCTGGGGCGATGACCTCATAACCAAGTTGGGAGAAATAGTCCAGTTGGCTTCCCCAGATATCCAGCGATCCCCCGACTCCATGGATGAAAAACAAGGCCACGTCAGGGTGAGTACCCTTGCAGCACGTGATCTTCCGCTCGCAGTCGATCACAACCGAGCGCTTGGGTTTGCGCCGTCTGCGCTGCACTTGCTGCAGATCCTGCTGGGGTGCAGGTTTGGTATCGGTAGCCTGTCCTGGGGCTGACCCTGGCGTGGGCTCAGTAGCCTGGCCTGCTGCAGGAGGCTCACAGTTGGAGACTTCCATATCCACAGTGCCGTCTCCGTTCTGATAGCGGACCAGCTCTGGATGGGTGGCTTCGTTGACGTTCTCAATCAGAAGCTGTCCATTTCGGTACACTGAGATTTTGCGCTTGCAGCTCACAGTACCCCCTTCCCCAGTCCCTGGCTCCTCAACCACTGGTCTGTCTGGGATAATATGTCGAACTCTCAGAACCCTTCCTGGTTTCACCTCAACAAATTCGAATCCATCGGTGGGCTCAGATGATTCAATAGGGGCCACCACATTAGTAGATTTCCCTGTAAAGCAACAGAATATTCCATCCACAAAGCTGGTGAGCATGGTGAACGCCTGGGGAAATAAGAAGTACATTTGGGTTCTCAAAGAATCAATGCTTTAGTACATGGACTTTTGTAAAAAATTCAGATTGGCTGACCAAGGATCCACACTACTCGTGTATGATATATGATTTATCTCCAGTGTGCAACAAGCCAACCAGTTCAATCTTGCCAAAAAGTGACCCCAGAGCCTGATGCTGCCTCCACCATGCTTGTTGTTGGAAATTGAGTTGGATGTTGGGTTGTTTTTGCATCAAATATAATGCTTTGCTTTTAAGTCTATTATCTACACTTATTTTCACAGGACCACAGACGTTTGGGAGCTACTAGCATCTCCATGAATGAGCATCTCCTTTCTCAAAAGCGGTGTCTTTCTAGGCACTCTCCCCAAGATGCTGAATCTGTGAAAATACACTCATTCTGTCTGTCTATATATCTCTTTGTGTATTGTACAGTATTGTGTGCATGTAACAAACCGTAATGCATACTTGCAGATTCGCAAACTGTTTCATGGGGCAATAATGATTTCATTCTTTTACAAGGTGTGAATTATATGGAGTTTTGGCTGCCCCAATCTAATAGTGCCTCAAAATCTGATTAGAATTTTTATTTTCTAATTTTTTACTTTAGATTTCATATTGCTTCTAAGATTGCTCCTAAGGGTAGTGCTTTGGTCTGGCCTTATTTGTATAATTGACATCCATGTACTTGTATTCATATCTTTTTCTATGGCTGTCAGGTGTAAATCCTATGTAAATAGCCTACTTTGATAGAAGTGAATACTATTTGAAAGCGGTTTAATTAGTTGCATCATAGTTCCGAACAGGCTTTGGCCTTGTCGGTTGCCTCCAATTTTAGGTATGATAAATACATTTATATTCCTTCACATTACTGTACAGTGAAATATCTTACCTGATTACCAATGTTCCCGATACATGAAAAAGCTGGATCTCCGACTCCAGTACCGTCTCTTCCCAGTGTAATGAAATTGCGGGTTTGTAATCTGCTACCCTCAATCCAATAATCTCATCTAAATCGAATCTGTCCCACGCAATAAAAGTCTTTAAATAAACTTCATTTGATGTTAAGAAAAAAACAAAACCATTAATAAGAGCAACAATGGGACTGTTTTTCGCTTTCATTTACTTCCTATCTTCCAAATCTACGTGCCAACATGGTCGCAGAGTAAGACTTCAGATTAAAGCAGATTACACCTGTTGAGCATATGCTGTTACAGCCTCACTGAAAACATGCCACTGACTGTCCAATTTTAAGTATTCAACCATAATCTCTTGCCTTGAATTTATTATGAATGATCTTGACCATGAAAATGTTTTAATTTAATTTTTATTTTGCTTCTCAAAACCATTTTTGACCTCAAACATAGGAGTTTGGAAGGCTTCATAAGAACAAGAACATACAATTGCAGTCATTGTGGAAACTTGCAACTAGATTTAGACTCAAGATGGGCTGCTCTCTGCACACAAGAGGTTTCAAATGCTTCCTTTACTCAAAACATTTTCCAAAGCCACAATGCATGCATGATTTGTTTTTGTTTGTTAATGTCGATGGCTTCAATACATTTCAATCTTTTCATCGAGAACATATGAACAAACTTTGCAAGGAAACGGCTCGAAACTTCCGACTTAACGTAACATGGTGTCTCGAGCCACAGTGAGAAAACAGTTTTACGGATGTTGTGGACTCCATTAAGCCCCATGTCTAAAGCTTCTACTGTTTATTGTACCACAACCACAGTTCACGGACTCCCTCTGCAGGTCAAGAGAGGATGCTGCATAGATGCCCCTTAAATCTCAGAACTCCAACACAACTACAAACCCAGAAAACAAAGGAGAGACATTATTAATCTCTAACCTGGGAAAATCCCATCATACGCAGAAATGGATTGCAACTGAATCGGCGCACGAGGATTAAGTCAATGATGGAGTCGGGCATTTGAATGCAGGTGATCGATTAATGATTCGTAATCGACATTAACACAGCACTGAAAGCTTATATGACAACAGGAGGAAGTGAGAGAGACGTTGACATTTGTAAGTCACCATTTGTATTTCTTCACATCATCAGAATTGTCATCTTCAATCTGTGGCAACAGATTTGCAGTCCTAACAGTGCATTCATGCACAAGTATGCAGCTGCTAGGAAGGCCGTTACATTACCGACACGAAACACTACATCTAAATCTGCCAAACGAGGCTGTACATTTGGGAAATTTCCCTTTTTGGACACTTGACTTGAGACCCTGTGTTTTTAGGTTTAGTGCCTGTGGCGGAGTATATAATGAAAGCAAAAATCCACAGCTGAGATTACTAGGGTGTTTTTAAACTTAAATTGCATTGATAGTGTCCTAAACAAAATCATAATTTTCACACGTCTTCACAGCAGACATTCCTTATTATGTGCTTGTTGAATACCGCAGGACCCGCCCCCTCTCACCCCCAAGCAGTTCAGAGTTCAGCAGAATCTTCTAAGCTGGCAGTGGAAACCCGTCGTGCCCCCACACATTCACAACTGGGCACTGACTGCGTCAGGAAGCACTCAGTAAAATAATAAAAGCACACTGTAAGATAAGTGTTCCATTTCCTTCTTTCTGAGATGAATTCCTGTGTGGTGTGCGGGTGTTGTGTCTGTTGGAAGGGGGGGTCCTCTACGAGTCCTCGTTCATCTCCTGACTGTCTGTCCGGGCGATTTTGCGGGGCGGTGCTGGGCTGCCACCCTCCCCTTCTGCTTGCTCCTGCTCTCGCTTTTTAGCTGCATTCTGCAGGACAAAAAAAAAAAAAGAAGAAGAAAAGTTTAAATTCATCTTTCAGGCAGCTGCATTTCTCACCAAAAAATAATATTTTTCCATTCCACTGTGCTGCTTTTCCATCATGTTTCCTATTTAAACTTGCACTTGATGGGCATGTTTGAAGGCCCTACGGAGCCCCCCTAGTCCCACTTTGTCAAAAAAATGTATTATAACTATCTCGTGGCCTCAAGATACGCATATGTTGAGGCTACGAGTTACTATCTTGAGGCCACGAGTTACTATCTTGAGGCCAAGTTACTATCTTGAGGCCACGAGTTACTATCTTGAGGCCACGAGTTACTATCTTGAGGCCACGAGTTACTATCTTGAGGCCACGAGTTACTATCTTGAGGCCACGAGTTACTATCTTGAGGCCACGAGTTACTATCTTGAGGCCACGAGTTACTATCTTGAGGCCACGAGTTACTATCTTGAGGCCACGAGTTACTATCTTGAGGCCACGAGTTACTATCTTGAGGCCACGAGTTACTATCTTGAGGCCACGAGTTACTATCTTGAGGCCACGAGTTACTATCTTGAGGCCACGAGTTACTATCTTGAGGCCACGAGATACTATCTTGAGGCCACGAGTTACTATCTTGAGGCCAAGAGTTACTATCTTGAGGCCAAGAGTTACTATCCTGAGGCCAAGAGTTACTATCTTGAGGCCACGAGTTACTATCTTGAGGCCACGAGTTACTATCTTGAGGCCACGAGATACTATCTTGAGGCCACGAGATACTATCTTGAGGCCACGAGTTACTATCTTGAGGCCAAGAGTTACTATCTTGAGGCCAAGAGTTACTATCCTGAGGCCAAGAGTTACTATCTTGAGGCCACGAGTTACTATTTTGAGGCCAAGTTACTATCTTGAGGCCAAGTTACTATCTTGAGGCCACGAGTTACTATCTTGAGGCCACGAGTTACTATCTTGAGGCCAAGAGTTACTATCTTGAGGCCAAGAGTTACTATCTTGAGGCCAAGTTACTATCTTGAGGCCACGAGTTACTATCTTGAGGCCACGAGTTACTATCTTGAGGCTACGAGTTACTATCTTGAGGCCAAGTTACTATCTTGAGGCCACGAGTTACTATCTTGAGGCCAAGTTACTATCTTGAGGCCAAGTTACTATCTTGAGGCCAAGTTACTATCTTGAGGCCACGAGTTACTATCTTGAGGCCACGAGTTACTATCTTGAGGCCAAGAGTTACTATCTTGAGGCCAAGAGTTACTATCTTGAGGCCAAGTTACTATCTTGAGGCCACGAGTTACTATCTTGAGGCCAAGAGTTACTATCTTGAGGCCAAGAGTTACTATCTTGAGGCCAAGTTACTATCTTGAGGCCACGAGTTACTATCTTGAGGCCACGAGTTACTATCTTGAGGCCACGAGTTACTATCTTGAGGCCAAGTTACTATCTTGAGGCCAAGTTACTATCTTGAGGCCACGAGTTACTATCTTGAGATACTATCTTGAGGCCATCTAGAGATACACAAGATACTATCTTGAAGCCAAGTTACTATCTTGAGGCCACGAGTTACTATCTTGAGGCCAAGTTACTATCTTGAGGCCACGAGTTACTATCTTGAGGCCAAGTTACTATCTTGAGGCCACGAGTTACTATCTTGAGGCCACGAGTTACTATCTTGAGATACTATCTTGAGGCCATCTAGAGATACAGGAGATACTATCTTGAGGCCAAGTTACTATCTTGAGGCCACGAGTTACTATCTTGAGGCCACGAGTTACTATCTTGAGGCCACGAGTTACTATCTTGAGGCCACGAGTTACTATCTTGAGGCCACGAGTTACTATCTTGAGGCCACGAGTTACTATCTTGAGGCCACGAGTTACTATCTTGAGGCCACGAGTTACTATCTTGAGGCCAAGTTACTATCTTGAGGCCACGAGTTACTATCTTGAGGCCACGAGTTACTATCTTGAGGCCACGAGTTACTATCTTGAGATACTATCTTGAGATACTATCTTGAGATACACGAGATACTATCTTGAGGCCATCTAGAGATACAAGAGATACTATCTTGAGGTCTACTATCTTGAGATACAGGAGATACTATCTTGAGGCCACGAGTTACTATCTTGAGGCCACGAGTTACTTATAATAATTTTTTTTGACAAAGTGGGACTAGGGGGGCTCCGTAAGGCCCTGATATACTCGACAGAGTTCTTTTCAATTCCTCCCTTAGGGGTAAAGGAACCAAACAGGGGTGCGTTTCCCGAAAGCATCGTTATCCAACTATGATTTTTATTTATTTTTTATTTAACCTTTATTTATCCAGGTAAACTGTTTGAGAACCACTTCTCATTTACAAACATGACCTGGCCAAAAGGCTACAGGAATAAATAAGAACATACTGTACAGCTGTACATAGTCAAACACATAACACATAGAACAAGTAACTAAATTAAAAAAAGATAGACAACAAAGGGGAAAAAGAAAAGGAATAGAGTGCTTAAATATGTGTGTATAAATATGGTTCATGATTGTCAGCAGGAACAAGAGTCAACTATGTAATTCGAGCTTTTGCTTAAAGGTGGAGATTGGGATCAGAGATGTAAGTTTCAGGGTATTTTGTAGTATGTTCCAGTCATGTACTGATGCAAAGGGGAAGGCATTACGTCCAAAGGTAGTAGAAGTAGGGGGGGGGGGGGGGGGGGGGGGTACTTAATTTAATCAAATTACTTGATCTTGTGTGATAGGTATTATGAGCGGCATGAAGTAGGGATGACAAGTAGAGAGGTGCCTTGCCCAGAATTGTCTTGTATATGAAGAGAAACCAATGATGATCACAATTTCCATTGAACTCTATTGGTAACGACGGAACTTGCGACCATAGTTGGCTAAGGATGCTTTCGGGAAACGCACCCCAGTATACTGTTAGAGAAACATTCCGACGCCACATTTCGAAGCTGCTGAGAGCGATGTTTAGGTGAATATGTAAATATGTACAAAACAAAAACACAGCGGTGACAAAAGCAGTTAAGCAAGCATTGCATCGGATCATGGCGACGGCTTGCACAAGCTCTTAAATTCAGCTCTTCAGTCAAGTCACAGGAAAAATACAAAATCCAAGTTCTCCTAAACATGAGACGTGCATTTTATTTAAGGGGTTATGACATGAGAAATTTAATTTTCCATGACCTTTTGACACATAAGAGGTCTTTGTACCATTAAGACATCCTGCAAGTTTCATAGATTAAAACGTTTCCCTACAGTATATTATTTATTTAATTATGTACCAAAAACAGCTTGTTTGGATATTATGGGATCTGTGACGTCACATGGGCAAATAGATTTGCATATGACTGCCTCTAGAGCAGTGGTTCTCAATGTGTGGGCGCAAGGATACTGCAGGGGGAGCGCGGGAGATCAGCAGAAAAAACAACAACAAAAAAACAGCCGTTGCAACGACGTTCAAGTGCGTGAATAGCGGTCAGTGCTCTGTCTTAATAAAGCAGCATATCCAACTGCAATTACACTGAATGGTTGTTCTTCAGACCGTTGACTTGTCACCGTTGGAACAAGCCTTACATAGAAGTCTCTCAAAGCACCTCTTCAGCGAACCGAAACTCAAGCTGCTATTGTGAACGCGCCTCTCCCCTACTGTGCGTGTTCTGCTGAAAAGACCAACAAGAAGCTGAGCTCGTGACTGAGGCGCTGTCAAAAGCAGTCATATATTTGCGCTTTTATATATCGTTCATCCAAAGCATCACTGAAATATTTAAATGTTTTTGTTTATTTCAATTAAAAGTTAAGTTCTGAAGTTCTGTATTATTCTCTCTTACTGTTATATGAAATGATGACATTACAAAGTGAAACTATTGCAGGTGTTTTTCAATGGAAGGTTTTTTTTTCCATTTTTATTTATCAGATTTTTGGGTGCGACGAAAAAAGTTTGAGAACCACTGCTCTAGAGCAAGACAACAGCGAATCATAGCACCATATGCTCCACCCACTGGCATTCAGTCACTTAACGGCTGACACCTATCAACGCCAAAGACAAATAGATTATAATCACTGACGTGGTCCACAGTGGATAAGGTATACACATACGCATTTAATTTCTGACGTAATCGAGTCTGCTGACAACAGCAGAAAATAGAGGAGTGAAAGAACGTTCGCGTTGACGTGTCCAGTTAAAACAGTTAGTTTGCGTCTCTGTACAGACTTCAGAATGATCCCAGCATTTTTTATTATTTTTTATGGCGTCCCGAATCACATCAGAGGACTACATATTTGTTCGGAGCATTTGACTGCAGATTTTTTAGCAAACGTGGCAAAGTGTAATGAAGGGTACACAAATAAACTTTTGTTGATAGATGAAGCAGTCAGCTGTCTGTGACAGCAGCTACATCGCAGTTGATACTGTTTCCGATGCAGTGACGATAGCTAAGAGTTTGAACTGTTTTACTACACAACAGTTTTTAGACCGTTTTTATTGGTAACCGTTTTTATTTCTCTAAGCCATATTTATTTGCACATTTTTGCACATCACCCCCATTTTTTACACCTTGGTGAGATTCTCCTGGCGACCGCTCGGGTCCCTATCACAGAAAGCCATAGGACTTGCATTTGTCCAATGGGAATTGATTGAATGGTTGTGGTTTGCTATTGCTGTGATCTCATGTGAGTGACAGGTAGTCCTGCCCTCGTGCCAGTAAATACGTCATTAGAGAAGTGAACGAATGTAGTGAATGAAATGAGTCAATTTATCCATCACCATGCGGTTGCTTTGTCAAACAAGAGCTTGATGAACACTTGCCTTTTTGTCCCACTGTTGATGAAGATAACGCAAAAGGATGTTTGTCTTCTCTGTGACAATGACTAAGAGGAGAGAAAAACAAACTAAAATTAGGCTTCAGACTGAAACAAAATGTTTTAAGAGACACAACAGCTTTCATTTTACTGTGGAACGTGGTTCTACATTTGAAATGGTTGTACAACAGGCCTTCATCCATCAGATACACAAGAACTCACTCTGTTCGGAGGGATACTCTCGTGTAGGCAGATATACTGACGGCCTTCTGTTCTGTAACACACAATAAATGGACTGTTAATGTGATTTAAACAAAACCTGAAGATGTAATTCACAGCTGTAGTGTGAAAATGCACACTGAATATTCAGAAAGACGATCAACAGCTCAGTCATGAAGAACATTCCAAAACGAATCATTTAGGCCAGCAAACCTTACCGATGCTTTACATACGGAGTCCGCATGAAATCTGCTGAAGTTTGTCTTATTATACACAGGTAGTCCTTTCAGGAAATCTGCCTTCAAAATGTTCAGAGACAAAAAGAGGTTAAAACGCTTACTAGAAATATCCCTGAAGTCCTACATTAGTTCCACTTATTACAGAGTAGGTATTAAAGACATGATTCAGTGAATATAAATGATCTTTAACAACAGAAATGTTTACTGACAGTTTAGATACAGACATGCTATTACTGAATGAACTACTGCACATAAAATAATCCCAGAAAAATGTCAGTTGCCCATGATTGTACATCAGCCAATGATCTTATAGACTTGAATTAGTCAGTGAAGCAGGACTCATTTAGCTAACAATCAATAACATGAGGAACCTTAATAGCACTTATATAAATACACATCTGAATAATACATCAATTGTATTTTTTAAATCTCATTTCAGACATTTGCTGATAGAGTAAACTCATATCCAGATGGAGGATGATGCATGTCAACCTTTGGGCGTTGCCAGTCTAGTCCACTAGATCTGTAAGTTAGAGGTTATATGAATGATCTTTTTTGATTCGAGTTCTTTTAAATAACATCTGATCGAAATAACACTAATAAAATTAATATATATTTAGGTCGTGACTGTTTAACAAAAGCTTAGGCGAGTCTCGCTCGCGCTTGTCAGCATGCTAATACGAGCTAACACATTAGCATGACATGTGTGATGTGATTTAAAGATAACTCAAATACCAAATCACCTAATAACCATAAAATAAAAGTTTTAGTACGCCTAGTAACAGGATTCAACCATTATATTATGTTTATTTTAGGCTGTTGCTATAAGAAAATAGTACATAAAGTAGTCATGAGTGTTTGAAGCGGCCTAGCATGCTAAGCAAAGCAGCCTGTCAGCTGAAAACGACTAAAATATTATCGATGTAGAGCAGATTTTAGAATTCAACATGATATTTCAGCGCCCAGTCCTTTACAACTGCGCGAAACTAACGTTACTCATCTGAAACATGAAAATATGAAGCTGTGAGTGCAGAAACTTACTTTGTCCATGGTGAAGTCAGTTCAGTCCTGTAGGTGTTTGTGCTCAGACAGGCCTGAACACTGACAGAAATCTGAGGTTTAAACCCGGTTCCACTCACTCACTCACCACTGAATACGACTCGAATACACAGACCTATACACAGAAATAAGCGTGTAAATAGAAGAACGAGCGACACAAATAAACAGCAGCTACAACTGAAAGCTACCGACTGACAAGCCTCTCTCTCTGCCTCTCTCTCTCTCTCTCTCTCTCTCTCTCTCTCTCTCTCTCTCTCTCTCTCTCTCTCTCTCTCTCTCTCTCTCTCTCTCGCAGTTGCAAAAAAAAAAAAACAAATTCCCCATGGTAACCGTAGTGTCCTTCAAAATACAATAATTACTGCAGTTGTTACTACAATAAAACGGTGGTAACCTGCTATTATCAAAATAAGAAAGAAAAGAAACCAAGTTTTAAAAAAAAGTATAGTGCAATTTTAATTAGTCCAATAATATAATGTAAGTAAAAACAGCAAATATGTACCATTAACACATGCATTACAAAGAAAACAAGCATGTGTTAAACTGTTTAACATATATATTTAAACATTTTAAAGTCAACATGAAATCAAAGTTGACCATTCTTATTTTTCTTATGGAATATTGAAGTGTTTATTATAAATTATTTATCTGTGCATATCCATAAAAAAAAAAAAAAAAAATATCCCCCATGCTCTTTAAATCAAAATAACTTACCCTCCCTCTTGCAGCGATATGTCTTCTCTTCTCTGATGACGCGTTTACTGGCGCGAGGGCAGGACAACCTGTCACTCAAATGAGATCCACCAATAGCGATCCCATCAATTCCCGATGGACCAGAGCGATGGACAACATCAAGCCCCGCCCTACATTTTTTCTTGTTCGAGAAGCCGTTTCTCTCGGATATACGTCACAATATGGAAGAAAAGACTATCACAAGTACCATTTCATTCATTTCTATTTTAAGCAGAAGTGTGAAAAAGCACCTCTTCTGTGCGCTTTTGATTCCCAGCGAACTCAACATGCATAAACTGATCAAAATTGATCAGTTCAATGCAGTTTAAGTTTCTTCAGATAAAAGCGTCTGCCAATTGCATAAATGTTAATACTCTTAAGATTGTACTTGAGAAAGTGACATAACAAAACACATTAAAAAAAGTTTTTATTTTAGGTCACGGCTGCCCAGCTGCAGTCAAATTGACCCGCAAATATTATAATTAAGAAATTGTATACGTGCATTCCACAAGATACAGAGTATCAACATTTTGCAGGCATTTTCATGCTCAAGACAAACATTACAGGGGATAGTTTACCCCAAAATGAAAATGATGTCATCATTTGTTCACCCTCATGTTGTTTGTAACAACTTGAGGGTGAGTAAATGACCAAATTTTCATTTTTGGGTGAACTATCCCTTTAACTAGTTTTTATCAACTCAGAAATTGAAATCAGTCCAAATGAACCGCAATATTTCAAACATATCGTAGCCTACAAAAAAGATTGTATGATTTATAGCCTCCAATTTGCCAAAACGTAAAACAGTTAGGAATTATGAGTGTTGAAAATACTAAAGCAGCATATTAGAAAACTGTAACTGAAAGAGAAACTGAAAGACATTACAGTAATTTAAATCTGTTTATTATCCCATTTCAATTCTTACAAAAATATGACAAAATAAAAGAATCAAATAATCCCATTCCCTAATATTGTTTTCTTTAATAAAGAAAAGTTTTACAGTTAAACATTGGAAGAGCTCATGATAGGTTTGTGAGGTTGCCTTCAGAGAGGGAATCCTGTGGCCCCCTCATCACAATCAGTTCATATTTCACAGTTAGACCGAATGTAAAGCAGTTCTTAGACGACAAACCTACGCAGCCTCGTAATGCTTTCAGCTAGCGGCAGCTTAACTATTCACATCTTTCAATTAAACAACAATAACGGAAACATAAATGTCATTAGGCCAGAGCTGAAGGTCTGGCTACATTAACTGTATGATGTGGACGGAAGATACAGGGATGACAAAACATTACAGCAGCCTCACGGCATCGAAGATACCATGATCTATTATATTGCAGAGTTCAGGTCAAAAAGAAAGCAACAAACAACCAAAAATGCCTGTTACTAGTCCAATAGTCTCAGCGAATGAGCATCAGAAAGACGGTTTATCTTTTACTCTTTTAAATATAACATATCCAACCTATATCAAAGTCTAAATTCAAATCCAATGAGGAAGGTGTATTAGTTGTGATAATATAACTAATATTTCAAGACCCAAAGGAAGTATAGTGCTGTGTCAGGCCAGGTTGTTGTCGTGGATGAATTTGTCAATGAAATGAAATAACCTAAACATGAACTAAACATAAAACAGATTCAAATCACCATTCAGGCCAAAATATTATTGCAACAATGTCTGCTCAGCAAATCCTGTCAACCAAATATAGAACAAATGCATAGCTTGTTTTATTTTTTTTTCTATGAAACTAAAAAGTAAAACTGTAATAATCCATTACTCGAGGCACCTCTCGTCTCTTCATGACCTTACACTGGAATATAAGCTCATACACACATTCCTTCACAGAAACCCTTCATAGGGTGTGACACCGTGACTTGTGTGACAGGTTTTTGATAGCAACAACTGAGCACATTGTGTGGAGATAAAACCCTCCCCTCAGTTGCTAAGGTCAAACTTTCAAAAACACACACTCAAACCGCCTCTAAAGACAGAGATGGTGTGTTTGAGAAACTAATACGTCGTCCTTCACATTTCCAAACCGAAGCACGTGCTTAGCAGCTTTACACTAAAATAATGTGCAAAGAGGAGGCAAATATTAGTTTTGCTTCAGTAAAAAAAAAGAAATAATTATATAAATAGGTAGACATGAATGATAATAACAAATGCTGAATATTAAACTGGAGTAAAAAAGTGACTATATTATTTCAGTAGTGTATTAATAAAAAATCAAATACAGCATTTCCATATGCAATGAGGCCGGTAATGAGACATCGTACTGCTTATATTGGCTTGCAGGATAATTATTATTTAATAATAATTATTAAAGCATTATAATAATACCTGTGAAAGGTTTGGAAATACCAACTCATTCTTTATTATTACTACTAATCTCCAAATTTTAGAATGACAGGAAAGTCTTCAAAACTATGAAATAATTCAAATGGAAGTATGGGAATTATGTAGTGATCTTATATTTGAGCAAATTGGACTTTTGCAAAAATCAAGCATTCAAGCAGAAACCTTGACAGCACAAGGTTTGACTGGAGATGGATGAAATGTCATCTGTCAAACACACAGCTGTCTCAAGATGTTTCAACACTGTCTTGCTCACAGTTTAGAGTAGTTTCCAATCTGATGTGATGTAGTCAAGAGGGGTTAAAGTCTGCTCTGTGTGTAACATATCAGCTTGAAGGTTCAAAACAGAGCTATAATGATAAGAATATTGGTGCCAATGTAATGTGATGACCATAAAAATTTAGGAAATTACACTCATTTTTATGATAGGTATCCATGACCCTGTTTTCCTGGTATTAAGATGTGTTTTGGTCGATCGGATAACAATTAGATGAGGGACACACTCCCGTTTGCATCTGGTGTTTCAATCCGTCTCTTTTGTCCACTTTCAACCACTTCAGTCCTGATTTCTTCGAGGGCAGGGTCTATGGGTGGGTAAATGTGTGGGGTTTTCAGGACTTTCGATCTAATGGACAACATAACCGCAAACAGTTTACAAATGAACGCGCACGGAGACGACGGAAAAACAGAGAACGGAAACACAGCTTTCGTTTCTGTTCGGACAGCCACAAGACCAAGCCGTCTGGCTAGTGCGCTTCCCGTAATGTTTACGCATTAGGTCAGTAGGAGGAGAGTAGACGGTCTTTTGTGGCTGTTTGAACACATTCGATCAAAATGACAGCAATCCTGTCGATCCTCTGGAAGTGGTCGAAAGTGGACAAGCTCAAAACATTTTAGACCCTGTTTACACCTGTATTTAGCGTCGTCCACTTGTGATCCGATCGACCAAAACGCATCTTAACGCCAGGTGTAAACAGGGCCTATCCGGCCTCTCCTGCTGCCTTTGTGTACAGCGCTTCACGATAGTGCGAAATGGATATATGAATTTTGAGACAAACAAGTAGGCCCTAATCGACATCACACACACCCCTTCGCATTCGTCTCTTTGCAGTTTCCATTATTGATTTCTTTATCTTATTAATTAACATGAAAATATTGCCATTTGGGGCCTATTATTCGGTAAGGACTTACTAAACCACCAGTAGTTTTAGCTTGTAAAGTTGCTATTGCTCTACTAAACCAGCTGTTTTAAACATACAAAAGTGCTCAGGCCTAAAATCACCCATAGTTGGAACTGCTGCTTATTGTGTGATTTTTGTTGTTATGATATTATGGAGGTCAAACTGTGTGATTGGTATAAACTATGTTTTTTTCCTACTGGCAGCCCAATAAAATGTTACAATTATCAGACTAGTAATTAAACATTGCACTTTAAAAACCGTCAGAAACGCAGCTCATGCATTCCTATTTGGGTTGCAGAAAAGGCAATGTGTGTGTGATTAAGTGTTTGGAGGGGGGTCTTTTCTATGAAGTTCTCCTGTAATATAAAGCATTAACCATTATGGGGCGAATTCACTAAACAGTTGCACCACTGTAGCGTGTGGCATTTCCGCACAAAACCATGCGTCTTGTTTACTAGCTGCAATCCAACTTAACCAAGTTCTATGTGCGCCAATATAGCACTGTGCCATGGGTATTTAAATGACGTCATTGTCGTTCTTTCATCGTCAGCTCACTTTCTATCCAAACGAAGCGCTGACAGAAAACAGATTTTATTTTAAAATGGATGTTTGTGTGCATTTCCCAGTAGTAATTGTAGCAAGCAAATATTTTCGGACCTTTTTAAAAAGTTCCTGCAGTGAAAATTGCACCGCCCGCTGTCTCTAAGCTATTGTCTGAAAACAAGGCGCGAGTACTTTCGTGGCAACCATTACCTGATTCGCTTACTTAAGTGAATCGGGTGCTAAAACAACGCTGACAACACGTGCAAATACACAACGCTAATTTGTGGGCGCAATATATTCTAATGCCGAAAGTAAACTTCTCTAGTCCGTGTTCCGCTCCGGCTTGCAGACAGTCAGCATGACGCAATTTTCGTCAATAGCACAGTCCGCTGATGTCCATGCACCCCATATGCCCAGGAGCCCAATTTTTGTGTCCACGTGGACGTGTGCATGTACAACAGTGCACGTGTGAGCGATTTTAGCGCTCCAAAAGAAAAGTCCACTAGGTAGCACCGAACACATCCATCTGTGCTCAGTCAAGAGAGTACACTTTGAAGTGCTTGCACACACAATTGTGTGTTAGATGGAGCAGAACACGGAAAATGAAGTATTCCCGGGCCTTAAGTGAATTCCCCCTTATCTATTTTACTTAACAGCTTCCAGGTCAAGTCTTACACAGCCTCAAAAACAGAAGAGGACCTTCCCCTTTCCACTCTCCCTCCCTCAGTGATATTAAGTAGTTTCACACACTGTTTTTTTAATGGAGATCATTTTCTTGTTACATCTTAGGACCTGAAGGATCAGCATCGGATGAGGATCCATTCTCCCCATTCTCTCCACAAGGGGATGGGATTTCGTCCGGGACCCCGTTGAGGTCGGACTTATTGGGGGGCTTGTCGTGCATCTGTCCGCCATCCCCTGGTTTTGAAGATTGAGCTCCATTTACACATGCCCCTCCTTCTGATTTCCCAAAGTTAAAGAGTTTCCCAGGATTGAAGGACTTGTTGGGTGATTGGGACCTCTCCGCCCTCTCCTGGACTGGAGGAACTGTTGACGTACTAGAGGAAGCTGTTGCGGTCTCTTTCTTGTTCTCGGGAGACTTCAGGAACTTGAAACTAAGAAAACCCGGCAGCTTGGGTTCACTACCCGTAGGCGACTGTGGGGAACGGGCTGTGCCGGAAGAAAACTTGTTCTGTAGAGGGATGATCTGCTTCAGTTTCATGACATTGTTGTTACCGAGAAGTGAGCTGGGTCGCTTGGGTTTCTCCCCCCCAGAAGCGCTGGATCTGGATTTGCCACTTTGGCTCTTGTCGTGGTGGTGGTCGCCACCCGAGGAGTCCGAGCGTCCGTCGTCTCGATCCCGCCGGGCCTGATAATCGGCCTGGCGCTGCCGCTCCTCTTCCTCACGCTTCCTCCTCTGCTGCTGCTGGAAATGCTGCTGTGCCTGACGCTCATGCTTCTGAAAACACATGTCCACCAGCAGTGAATCCAGTTGCTGCCACAATTCTAGATTCAGGATGTTGCTATGCAGTTGCTAAGGTGTTCTGGGTGTTTTAGTATGTTTCTATGTAGTGCTTGCTTAGGGTGTTCTAGGTCAATGGTTCTCAACCTTTTCGACTCAAAGGGCCCCCATATGTCCAACACAATTTTCAAAGCCCCCATATAGGCCAAGATATTGATAAGTTATTTTCAGTATTTCTGACATTATTATGACAGAGCTGCTTGTTTTAAAGGGATAGTTCACCCCAAAATTTAAATGACCCCATGATTTACTCACCCTCAAGCCATCCTAGGTGTATATGACATTCTTCTTTCAGACGAATACAATCAGAGTTATGTAAAAAAGGAATCACTTGCGCCTCAGCCTAGCCTGTGCTCTCGGAACAGGACACAACAATCTTGAGAAAAGGACCCAAGGTCTATGGGACCAAGGAGCAGGACCGGAGCACAGAACATTTTAATAAATTTATTAGTGCAAAAAGACCAACGTTTCGACGCACATGCGTCTTCTTCAGAGTCGTTTGACTCTGAAGAAGACGCATGTGCGTCGAAACGTTGGTCTTTTTGCACTAATAAATTTATTAAAACGTTCTGTGCTCCGGTCCTGCTCCTTGGTCCCATAGACCTTGGGTCCTTTTCTCACAATCAGAGTTATATTCAAAAATGTCCTGGCTCTTCCAAACTTTATAATGGCAGTAAATGGCTGTTTATGTTTTGAAGTCCATCAAAGTGCATCCATTCATGATTAAAGTGCTCCACACAGCTCTGGCGGGTTTGTAAAGATCTCATGGTTGAGAACCACATGATTGTTCCCTCTCCCCACTCCCCTGCGCTCACATTGCATTTTATCATTCCAGCTTGCCTCATTACAATGCAATCTTTTGTTTTGAAGAAAACAGAAAGAAATGACTTCTTGCTTATAGTTTGGCTCATAGATTTATCACTTATGCAGCACAGCGATTTTCACTTAATCGTACTGGACATACCTGAAGATTATTACGGAGGCAGCTGACGTTGAAGGAGGAATTAAAATTCCTGTTCATCAATAAGGTGAGAACCAGACCTGTTGTAATATACTTGAATTAATCGAAAAGTGTACTGTCCAAGTAGTAATAGAAGATGTTTGTTGTTGTAAACGAACTAGACTTTGGAGGTCAAACATGCATGGTTCAGCCATTATTTACCACCCAAAAAAGTATGTCTTAAACCAGATGACAATTTGCGCTACTCTTGGTAGATTGTGTTGGTCATTATGGAAATGATCCGGCTGAGTCTGTGTTCTTTAATTTGTGCGTTGTCAGTAGATTATGCGCTTTCCACTCCCATCTGTGTTTTTTTTTGGAATTGCCCTCTCACAATAATTTGCCCTGTTTAGTAAATCTGGCCCTTACTTTCCTAAACATTCTTTGGTCAATCACCACTACTAATATAAAACGAAATACTTTCTTTAAATCATCAGAATGGCTTTTGAGGGGTTGGGGCGGTGGATGGGCTATTACCTTAAATGCCTCTTTGCGCTGAAACTCCAGCTTGGCCATTTCCTCTCCCACCCAGCTGGGGATGTCTGGTATTGCCACATGAATGATATACTTCAGTAGAACTGCAAAGTGCTGGTCATAAAAGGAAAGACAGAAAGAAGAACAGAAGCCAAAGTCTGTTTATTATCATTTCCCTTATCTGTGGTATAACAAAAATCTGAATACAGTTCTCCTGGAGTCACGGCGCAGAACATACAGTCTTTAACACAGGGGTCTCAAACTCAACTTAACTGGGGGCCGCTGGAGTTAGAGTCGGGGTCAGGCTGGGCCGCATCAAGTATTCCACAAAAAAATAGTATTCAAGTATTACAAAAAAAAGGAGCACAACTGATCCAATCTTCTCAGTATTTATTATTAACGTTTCTTCTGAACTGTTCCTCTGAATTTGAACATTCCTTTCTGTACATGATTGATTCTTCATGAGCTGTCCTTCTGACAGTTGAAGTTCATTTTACAAACTTTCTTTGTCTATAACACATATTTGTGATATTTATATTTGCTTATGTCCTTTTTATTTTCTTTATACAACACATTAATGATATTGAATGTTTTTTTTGGAAGTCCTTTTATTATACTTAGAAAAACAATTATTGCTTTTGAAATACAAATATTTGCAGTCATGTCTGCCCGTCTTATTGAATTCTTTCTACACATGTATAGTGTCTCAAATTACTGACTGCACAAATCAAAGCAAACCTTCTTATCAACCTGTTGGACACATATTACAAGCTCAAAATGATTATTCTTCCATTGTTTTAGAGCAGGGGTCTCCAACACGTCGCTTGCGAGCTGCCAGTAGCTCGTGGCCTGATTGGTGGTAACGTTAGCTCGCCAAGGGGCCGTTCACATATCGCGCTCACATATTTTGCGTGCTCAAGTTCGTTATTTCAATTGTAGGCGCGCGGCAAGCGCGCTCATAATTGAAGCGACGCGCTCGTTTTTTCCAGGCGCAGTATGTTTGTACTTCGCGGTTGTCTATGACAACTATTGACAACAAACCCACCGTAAGCTGTCACGAGACTATCTATGGTAGCCCATAAGGGATAAAAAACAATTTTTTATAAACGCGGCACACGCATCGACGGGCCGCACTAACATTAAACTTTAATGTCAAGTAGGGGGCCACAAAATATCACCCCGCGGGCCGCGAGTTTGAGACCACTGCTTTAACACCAAATCCTATAAACAGAAGAAAATAGAGGGCTTCAAGCGAAAGAGGTCAGTTCAGAAGGATCTTCAGACTAACTGGCATGGTTTGAGAACTGAATAGAGGTAAGGTTCATAATTGGCCTGGAGGCATAGGAGTAATAACGCTAACTCTTTAAATGTGAATGACCAAGCTACACTCGTGCTTTCAGCCCTGAGGGTGCCATTGCTTTTTTTTTTTTTTACACAACTTTTGCCCCGATTTGCAGTTTTAAAGGTGCTCTAAGCGATGTCATGTGTTTTTTAGGCCAAAACATTTTTTGTCACATACAGCAAACATCTCCTCACTATCCGCTGGCTGCCTGTCCCCTGAACACACTGTAAAGAAACGCGATCTCTGTAGACAGCCCATGCTTCACAAACAGCACCAAAAACAAACTGCAGCGACCCGCTCCCCAAAACATAACAAACTGTTCCAGCCAATGACCGACAAGAAGGGTTTGGGGGTGTGGTTTGGGGGGTTAGTGTGCGGATGAGGAGGAGGGAGGGTCTAGCTAGCCTCCGTTTTGTTTGACAATAGTTCGAACGTCAACAAGAAGTGACGTCACCCAGGATCGCTTAGAGAACCTTTAATAAGTTGATTCTAGTTGCTGAAAGTCAGAGCCGGTCTGCATATTTTGGGCAGTCAGAATTGGCAGAATTAGGAGAAAATTGAGCAGTGTATTATGGGCATTGAGTGATTTTTTAGCATCATACTATGATTGCATCCAGTATGAAGAAATCAAGCATGTTTGATATTTTGAGCTCATCTATAAGGCCATTACACTAAAGCCGGGGACACACTTAATGGCTAGCTGGCACATTCTAAGACCGAACTGAACACACTTACAGACTGTTTCCAACGACTGGAGCAGATTTTAAACACCGACTGTGTGTGAACCGACTGAACGCGACTGTCTCTGACTCGGCACGTTTGTGCATGATCAGTCCTAAGTATCAAATTAAATTCATAATCGGCCTTACAGTCGTTAACTTACAGTCGTGTCCTCGGCTTAACAATTACATGAACAAAGAAACGCATGCTAGTTCACCCTTTTATCCAAAGTGAATACAGTACAATTAGTAACTTCATAACCTACATCAACACTAATGATGTCAGGGTTCAGTTAGAGTGAGATATACCAAGGTTCAGACTACACAATATTTTTGGCTTTTACGATAGTCACTGTGACAGATTATGTGATTTTGACTCCTCAATTCTTGCCGTGTCGTGGACAGGAAACATGTTAGACTACATGTTACTTATCGACCAATCATCGCTTGGCATCTTTAACGATGTGCGTGATGTCATTGAGGAGGAGGAAATAGCAACTGACCTCTGGAAATGAACCTAAACAAACAATGGCTACAGAAGCGGCGTGTTACCCTAATGCTAATTCCAGGACTCACAAGGTTGGCGCCTCTGCTATCTTTCGTCAGCATTTATCTTTTTTCACTGTTTCGTGGTAGTCCTTCAAGGAAACATCATAGAGCAGGAGTATTGTTGCCATAGCCTCACAAACCTTTCCTCCATTGCATGATTCCACCTAGCAGCACCAATAACATCGCCATGTTTGAAAGCTGTGTACGGAAGAGCTTCTGTGCTCCTATTGGTTAATGTCACAGATGTGACGGAACCATAGACTGTAAAAAAATATGGATGTAGTGTCCATGACGTCACCCGTAGGTTTCTGAAGAGCACTTTTGAAACCCGAAGTGGGCGGTGCCGGCTGTCGCCATCTTGGCAGCGCGTCACTCCCGGATAACCGGAAAATGCTAGACTTTCTGTCGAGACGTCGTGAAGCAGCGCAGGCGCGGCGTTGGTTATCGTTCCCTACGACACACTGTGCGAGATAATCAAATGATCCCGACGCCCATTGTCGTTAACAAATAATCACAACATCCTAAGTCAAATATTAATAATAGCAAATTCAAATTCAAATGGATCGTGCCAAAATCGTGCTGATATTGTGTAGTCTGAACTTGGCATTAGATTTATAGGGAGTGTGTGTATGTGCTTGAGTGTGTGTGTGTGTACCTCTAGGATGACGATTGAGATAATGGCCATCTCAGGACTGAGCCAGGGAAACAGTCTCTGTAGCTGCCCACACTGACCAATCAGATAGCAGTTCACTATGATGGCAATCAGACCCATGGCTTCCATCACTGTCTGTGCAATGATACAGGATTTTACACAACCTTGTGATTTAAAGACACTCCTAGAACAATGTCAACTTAACAGATTTGTCCTTTATGTATATCAAAGTACTCGGTGTAGTCTAACCTGCCACTGTCCGATGCTCCCCACCCTCAAGCCGAAAGGTCTCTGTAGGCTGGTGCACAGTTTAAACGCGTCACTCCGGATCTCAATGATATTGTTGATGAGGGCACACATGGCGGCCAATGGGAAGGCAGATGAAAAGAGAACCACATATCCAAACTGAACAAACATCTCCTGGTAGTCCTGAAATGTGTCCTGGAAAGCAGTTAAGAGACTTTGTTTTAGAAGTTTAGAGGTTTTCTGACAGTATGTCAGTTGGAAGTGTCTGTTTGACTGCAGGCGATAGAATATCAGTAATCCAGAACACACAGATATTCATTGTTTTCTGATAACACACAGACATTACAGAGACGTTTGCAGTAGACTCCTTTAGTCAGAAACCATTGTGTTCCATTTTAAATAGTGTTAAAACATTATATAAATGACAATTTACACTATCGTTGAAAAGTTGTAAAAAACATTTTTTAAAAAGTCTATTATGCTCACCAAGACTGCATTTATTTAATCAAGAATATAGTAAAAACAGTGATATTGTAAAATATTATTACAATTTGAAAAACATGTTTTCTATTTTAATATAATTTTTCAAATGTAATTTATTCCTGTGATCATAGCTGAATTTTCAGCATCATTACTCCAGTCTTCAGTGTCACATGATCCTTCAGAAATGATTCTAATAAGCTGATTTGCTGCTCAACAAACATTTCTTATTATTATCACAGATGCAAATTGTCGTGCTGTTTAATATTTTTTGGAAACCGTAATACATTTAATCTTATTTATCATCTACTAAACAATTTTAAAACACTAGATATACATTCAAGGCTTTAAAATCATAATCAATAACATCCAAAAAGAAACATTTCAGTGACATAATACATAAGCACAAATGTTAGACCGTCACCGTTTTACCTGAAAATGAACATCTTGGCAATGTACAGTGGGCTCCACAAATATTGGCACCATTGGTAAATATGAGCAAAACTGACTTTGTGAAAAAAGCTGACTGTTTTGCAAATTGTCCTCTTAAAGGCAGGGTAGGCGATTTGTTCCAGAAACATTTTTTGTTATGCTGGTTGAAAGTCTCTTCACATCCTGATGGCAATCAAAATATATTTATATGTACACTACCAGTCAAATGTTTTAGATCTGAAAGATTTTTAATGTTTTTAAAAGAAGTCTCTTCTGCTCACCAAGGCTGCATTTATTTGATTATTATTTTTTTTTAATATTGGGAAATATTATTACAATTTAAAACAGCTGTTTTCTATGTGAATATATAGTAAAGTGTAATTTATTCCTGTGATCAAAGCTGAATTTTCAGCATCATTACTCCAGTCTTCAGTGTCACATGATCCTTCAGAAATCACTCTAATGATGATCTGATACTCAAGAAACATTTCTCATTATTATCAATGTCGAAAACAGTTATTTACATTTTTATTTCAGGATTCTTTGATGAATAGAAATCTCAAAAGTACAGCATTTATCTGAAATAGAAAGCGTTTGTATTTATGTATATATTTTTGTATTATTTAAAGGCTAGATTTTTGTGAATATTTTGAATGAAAAACTAAGGAGAAATTGGAAAAAGTCAGTTTTGCTCATATTTACAAAGGGTGCCAATATTTCTGGAGGCCACTGTGTTTACACAAGTAGGCTTGTTTTAATGAAGATGAAGATGACATTGACTTTTCTGTCAAGACATATTTAATGAAAGACATATTTAATGAAAGATTCAGTTAGTTTTGAACATTTTCTGTGAGCAAGCACCACCAATGCGGTGTGAAATGTGTTAGTTGTTTGTCTTAGACTGTGCGTATGGAGTGTCTTCTGACCTGGTACGTTTGCATGCAGCTCTCGATCTCGGCCTGTGTTAGCGTAGCGGTTTCTTGCTCTTCAGGAGGATCCATCCACGAATCTCTCTTCGTCTTACCGTCAGCCCTCTCTAAGCTCCGCCCCCTCTTCCTGAGCCTGACTGACGTGCTGTTCTCCACTCCTGTTGTCAGCGGCTCCCCTGTCAGTTCCTTCATCTCTGGAACCCCGTTTTCATCATCATCATCGCACATCTCAAAAACCGAGGCAGGATCCATGCCCCTCTCCACCATGGTAGGGCTGCCCTCCTCCAGGAAGCTGTCGTCCACTGGGCTGACGCAGCTCGCGGACTTGCGGTCCACCTTCTCAATGAAGCTGACCTTTCGCAGCTTCAGGCCGCAGTCGATGAGGCTCTCTGATTCGTTCTCTTCTTCGCTGTGCCTCTCCCCAGGCTCCTCCTCCACATCCTCGTCTGGGACGCCACAGCCACCATTGAGACACTTGCGTTCTCGCCTCTCTTGGGGGCCCTCCTCACCCATCTGTGGGCCGCGCAGACCTGACCCGAGCACAGTGGGGTCGCTGGGCGAGACCTGCGCTCGTCCTGCTGCGAGTCGCCCGTACTTGAGCAGTGCAGACACCAGCAGCTCCCAAACAGCCCGCAGCGTGAGCTCACCCAATCGGTGCCGTTCGGCCAAGTAGGGCTGCAGGACTTCCTTCATGTTCAGCACAAACTGCCGGATAATCAGCAGCGTGGCCAGCATCTACAGCAATAGGGACACCAACAAGTTATACTCTCACATGACAAGGCTGAACATTGATATCCCAATTTCAATTCCAATTTGATTTGAGTAATTTATTTGGTCATATTTAAGTCCATTTTGATTACATACGAAGAGACTCTCACCTCTTTCAGACGCTCCATGTCTTTGAGGTAGAAACCAATATAGAAAAGGCTGAGATAAGAATTTACAAACTGAAACTGAGAAAGAAAGAAAGTTTCAGGAACAAAACGTGATTTTTTTAGATACAAAATGTTGAATACTCCAAAATATTTACGTATATATTATTTCATAAGTACTTACAAGAACCATTTTGATGATGAGATTTTTCTCATAGGCACTCTGGAGTCTGTAGTTTTCTGTGGGAAACAGAAGATTCAGACATTAGTATTCACCTCACAGAGGCCGGACAACTAGCCTGTGTTTATCTTCTTTCTCCTTCTCAATTTGGCTTCTGGAAGGCTGTATTCCAAAAATCCAGACCATTCTCCATTTCAGCCTTGCTACTTTTTTACTATTGACTATTAAAACAAAACCTCCTGAATTTAGTGCACAGTTCCCTCTTAAAATGTTGTTTTGTTGAATAGAGTGTTCATGAACAGCTTAAATAATGAATTACACAATTTAGCACAAAGATACACATTCAAGAAACAGCTGCATTAAGTGAGTAAATGTGAACGGACTCACCCATGTCATTTAGCCAGCAGGCGATCTTTCTGTACACCTCATCACACGCCGTCACAGTGATGGCCAACATGATTTTAGGGATAAATCTTGCTACTCGTGGAAGCTCCTTAATCCCCATCACAAATTCCTGCCAAACATCACTCCATTACAACTCACGGTTTCTAAGTATTTGCACTGAATAATATGTAAATCCATGTTGTTATTACTTTTATTATTTTGATCATATACAGTATTATGATGAAACAAATATTATTATTCTTTGGAACTATGTGTACATGGACTTTTTTTTCAGTCAACCTAATAATATTAATGAATGTAAAAGGCAAAGTGTATATCTTAAGGTCCTGTGAATTCTTAAATATTTCACTATTTTTATTCACCTTTTTGCCTTTACATAAAATCTTCCTGTGGTGCTATAAATATTTTTTACAAGTACAAAAAGTACATTCTGCTAAAATATTAAATGTGCGTGTTAGAGTGTGTAACTCACCTGAAGCTCAAAGCAAACGAGCATGGCCAGAAATACAAAGCAAAGGCATAATATACAGACAGGAAAGCTGACCAGCCATCTGAACACCCTCCTCCTCCACGGAGGGTAATAAAACTCTTCACAGCCCGTCACTGGACTGCACCGCTTCACACCCTGACCCGAAGAGCAATACAGAAAAAAATATTTAAACAGCAGTCAAAAAAAAAAGTGTTTTCAGACACATTACCCTGTCATTACCCTGAACTGAGGTCTGGGTTCCTCCAGGGCCTCGGCTGGGGTGTCCAGTGTACCCCACTTATAAGCGAGCTCTGCCCCTCTGCGTTTCCAGCGCTCCAGGAACAACGTGGCCCACACCACATTAAAGAGAGCAAACACCACACAACAGATATCCCTGCTGGTCTGAGAGGATAGTGACAGAAATATAGATCACATGAACAGAATATGAACAGTAGTAGACTCCAATATAAACATTTTAATCGTAACAACTCTCAAACTAGTTTTAACCTGTTAATGAATATGGCATATGTATATGTGGAATATGAATATGTTAATATATTTGGTCTTGGCGGATTAGATCTGCTACACTGCTGTTGCAGAGCAAGTATGGACTTGCTACTGCCATTAGATATGCTGCTGCATGAACAGACATACTGTACATTAATCATGTTGCAGATCTAGGCAGGTGGAGCTGGGGGAGGTGGAGGGTTTCAGACGAACTCTGATAGCACGCTGCAGGACTAGCTTAGAGCAGAATTTGGTCTTAATGAGCAGAATGAACCAGACTATTTAAATGTTGGGCAAGTAATCTCATTGGCTGCAGGATCAGCAGAAGCCAGTCAGCTTGTGTCATGCGGTAATGATGTAATTGCTTACAGATTGCATGTAAAGGACCGTGCCATCAAGCGTTTCAAGTCTGACTCTGAACTAGATATATCATCACACATGTGGATTCCATAAATGACATTTAATTCAGCTTTAATTTATGGTACAGTTTCAAAACTCTTGGAATATAGCGGATGAGTCACTTTTATGGAATTTAATGGTGTTTAAGTGGTCAAATACCTGATCTGATTCTGTAAGCATCCACAATACAAAGCCAATAACAGCTGGATACAACATGGAAGTGGTGTAGAAACCCAGCCAGGCGAAGTACATGGCAATCTTCGCTCCAAAATAATCACAAATATCATCTAACACAGAAAACAAAGAGGACACAGACTTAGACCAATCATTCAAGTATCCAAGTAGGGCTTTCACAACAAAGTGATAAAATCAATAATAATCAGTATTGAAAATAATCAACAATGAATTTGCACAGAAACTGGAAATCAGAATTAATTCTGACTAAAATATAAATCTTGCTAAAATATTTGTCGTTAAGACATTAAATGTAGGTTTAAAATTGTACGTGTAATACAAATTATTGTATTTTATGAGAGGATAAAGGGACTATTTTAACGGAAATTTTAAATGTGATATAATTACTACGTTCATATGAATGTATCTAGTACCAGTTAACATTTAGCCTGAGCTTTTGTTAATTATCATTTTTTAATTGAGTGATTTTAACTTCTTAACTTTAAAATGCTGTAATCAGTTGGGGTTTTTGTTGTTTAGAATGTAATATTTATTTTTTAACCCTTTTAGCACATAATGTATAGAATTAGCCTACTGTAATGATTCCCGTCTTATTTTCCCCTGTCTGGTGTTCAAGGACTCTAATTTTGAAGTACATTTTTGTTCCCATTGTTTCTGTTTTCTCACTTCCTGGTTTAGCCACTGTTTGCCTTCTCTGTTACCTTAGTGATTGATTTCCTTCAGCTGTTAGCCTCTGTTATCTCATGTACTTAAACCCCAGTGTTGCCTTTGTTCTTTGTCTGGTGTTGTCCCTTATGGTAGCAGCATCGTGTGTGTGATGCTCAGTTCACTTTTACCTGTCTTGCCCTTGTCTTGATTTATCGTGTCTTGTCGAATAGGGATTCACTGTTTTTGATTTCATTTCACGTACCTGGATTTACTGTTTGTTAATAAATATTAGTGATGTGAAGTCCGATTCATTTCCGCGAACTAGTTTGTTTCAATGAACCAGTTAAAAAAAAAAGATTCATCGGTTCCTTACGTCATTACGTAATGATGTCACTACTAAATAATTTTTTTTAACAACTCAGTGTCATGTTATATCTATGAAACATTCAAATAAAGTAATTTGTGTGAACGCATATTGCTGATTATTGCCTTTCCTTTCATTCACTTAAGTTGATGGTGTTTGTGGTCACAGTTTCATTCACTGATCCATCGTGTCGGACACGACTGACTAATATAGAGTAGCCCACATCTTGGATGATATTCCTAAAAGTTTCGCACCTACAACACACATTACAGACATGGATGCACAAACGCAGATATGTTCAACATATCTATAGTATACAGAAAGAATAAACCAGTCCTATAAAGTCCTTCATTTTTCTTAACAACTTAAATGTAATTTGCATGCACAATAAACCATAGTAAAATTATTTTTTTTCCTCCTTGTTATAATAAAAATCTAGGGCTTTTTAATAAAACTACTCATAAGCATCTGGCATTTGGATCCGACGACTCTCCATTGTTTATGAACGTTACACCTACATTGACTACATTCACTTTATTTGTTTTGACAGAGAAGACAACATAGGGCAGGAGGTGGAATAACATTTTCATAAATGTATTAAAATTAATTACGTTTTTAATTAGTTGCCGTTCTATATCTAAGCATCATATTTTTGTTTTAAAAAATCCTGATGACAATATTACAAAAACATCATTTTTAACAAGGGAAGTGATCTAAAAAAAAAAAAACTGCCATTCCCTGCTAAAAACCCTTGAACCCAATTTAGGTTCTCTTACGAGAGTATCTCTCGTACTGCGTAATAGCTTACGCTAGGGGAAAAACTCTTTTCCGCGAGATATTGAAGCCAAAAATTATCCTTAATTTTTTATTAATGTAAAACGCTTTGCAGCAGCAAGCAGACATAGGCGAAACAGCTCGCGCGCCTATTGGTTGCTCTGCAGCAAATGCAGCAGCCTATCGAGAGAGACTCTGCGTGACGTAATGACCAATGGGGGCAATTCGCGCCCATATCGTCACGTCCCGCCAGAAGGGCCGTGGTCTCACCCTATAAATATGCTCGTTAGGCTGATACAAGCTGATTTTTACCTCTTCAGCGAAGCACACGCATCGCTGGATCCGGAGTGAGAAGCCGCGCCGTCGAAGCAAGCCTTTCAGCGGGACGAGCTCTGGAGTCGCTGGCCTCGCCGCCTTCAACTGCCGTACCTGCTGCGCTTTCCGGCGTTCTATATCCTTTTCATACTCTGTGTGTATTTACTCTGTTGAGAGTGTGCGCTCGCTTACTTGACGCGACTCACACTTCTCTCACAAAAAGAGCTGCGTCTTTTTAAAGATGCCTTCCTGTGGCTCGTGCCGCGCCCCGCTCAGCGATGGAGACCGGCACGTCATCTGTGTTTCCTGCCTGGGTGAGGATCACGCGGCTCTCGCGCTCGCTGACGGCGGATGCCCTCATTGCGAGCTTTTGCCCATGGTGACTCTGAGGACTCGCCTGGCATCATTCTCCGAGCCTTCACCGCAGCCCGCCGTGGTGCCGCGCCGCAAGAAGCGCCGCGCCCAGCGCGCTCCCGAGCTTTCTCCAGCCCGCCAAAGCTCGCCGGTTCGCCCGCCAGCTTCGCCGGTTTCGCTCGAGTCGCTCACTGACGGACAACGGCCGCCGCCTGCCGCCGCGTCCATCCACGAGTTTGACGAACCCACCGAGGCGTGTTCTCTTCTGGCATCCGATAGTGAGGATTGGGCGAGCTCCGTGGATCTCCCCTCCGCTAGCGTTTCCCGCCAGCCCACTGGTAAGAGAGCCGGCATTGAGACTGAGCTGATGCGTCTGCTCTCTCAGGCCGTGGAAAGCATCGGCCTCGATTGGGAGGCGGCCGCGCAGCCGCCGCGCAACAGAATGGACGGACGCTTTCTCGGAAATGACGAGGCTCCGACGAAATCGCGGCCCGCGCCCTTCCTCCCGGAACTTCACGAGGAAGTGACTAAATCGTGGAACGCCCCCTTCTCCGCCAGGCTGCGTACCTCTGCCTCTGCTGCTTTCTCCTCGGTGGATGGCGCGAAGGACAGAGGATACCTTTCTGTTCCTCATGTGGAACCAGCTGTAGCATCTCATCTCTGCCCGCCCTCCGCTGGACGGCGCGCTCACACGGCGCTACCCTCTAAAGCCTGCCGAGTGACGTCAACCATGCACGGTCGCGCTTACACCGCCGCCGGGCAAGCAGTTTCAGCACTGCACACTATGGCTATCCTGCAGATCTACCAAGCCGACCTTCTCCTTAAATTGGACGAGGAAGGACCCGGAGCGATCTGCGTGGCGGACCTGAGAAGCGCTACAGACCTCGCTCTTCGCGCTACTAAAGCCGCTGCACAGGCCATAGGACGGAACATGGCCTCTCTCACCGTGGCTGAGAGACATTTATGGCTGACGCTGTCCGAGATGACGGAAGCCGAGCGCTCTGTGTTCCTCGACGCGCCCATTTCACAAGCGGGCCTTTTCGGATCTGCCGTCAAAGATTTGGCGGACAGATTCATGGAGGTGCAAAAGACTTCGCAGGCCATGAAGCACTTCCTTCCGAAGCGCTCGAGCTCCGCTGCAGGTCGCTCAAAACAGCCGTCTGCTCGCAGTTCTCAGCCGCAGCCTGCACCGCCTGCCGCCGCCGCTTCACAGCGCCGCCACGCCCGAGACCAAAGACCGCGCTCTCGCTCTGCCGGACGCCGCCCCCCTCAGCGCGGGCCCCGGCCGAGGATTGAGATCAAGCCCGAGGCCTCAAAATCTTCCTAGCCATTCTAGGAAAGCGACGGTGTTCAGATCCCGCTGCGGCCGGATTTCCACCAAAACTTCTCGCTCGGTCAGTTCCAAACATCGCGACTGTCCCAGTGTATTTCGCAGTGAGCCAGCCGGTGTCTCAGCCTGTTTGCCTGCGCACAAAAGCCGTTTTTACGGCTACCCAGATAAATCCAATAAAGAGTGCATTTTCTGGTGTTCCGGCCACGGCCGATGGTGTTATAAGTGTTGTAAGAATGCCCACCCAGTGCCCATTCACACACACAGACACAGCCCGCCACGGTGCAGGGCTAGCACAAATAAAATCGACTCCGGTCGATTGTGCAAACAATGTAGTAAACGCGCCCATGTCACCATGCCCGCTCACACTACATGCTGCGTGTCCCTTGGTTTCTGTAAAAACGAAACCAACACACATTCAGTCGGCCATGAACGACAGTGTTTTCAGTGTAATAAATGTGCCCGCAGCCCCGCGCCCACATTTTGTCACAGACACGCCGATTCCTACGGGATCTCCCCCGCTCGCTTTTTCTGCACAATCTGCCATAAAAAAGCTGAGCGCGGTCAGGCCGCCCGCTGTGATCAGCGCGCCCCCCGCCTCGAACGCTGTAAACACGGTGTTGTGTTCCCAGTATGCCCGGGCTCTCGAGCTGCCGTTTTGCCGCGACCAGAGCCCGGATTTCATTCTGCCCCTAGCTATTCATGCAGATGCGTGGTCAAAGCTTCCCGGGGTATCAGAATGGGTGCTGAACACTATAAAGAGAGGCTATTCGCTACAATTCGCTCGACGCCCGCGCCGTTATACGGCGCGCGTCGAAACTACGGTGAAAGACGAAGTGTCTCATCTACTTCGTGCCGAGATAGCGAAACTACTGAGCAAAGGGGCTATAGAACCTTTATCTCAGGCTCAGAGCGAAGGGGGCCTATACAGCAGATATTTTCTGGTACCGAAAAAGGATGGGGGTCTCAGACCCATTTTAGATCTACGACAGCTGAACAGAGTGCTTGTCAAACGCCAGTTCAGAATGCTTACGACCAGGAAAATCCTCGCGCAAGTGCGCCACGGGGACTGGTTTATGTCGATAGATCTGAAAGACGCCTATTTCCAAATACAAATAGCGTCCCATCACAGGCGATTTTTGAGATTCGCCTTCGAGGGCCAGGCATATCAATACACAGTCCTGCCGTTCGGCCTGTCCCTAGCACCTCGTACATTTACGAAGTGCATGGACGCGGCGCTCGCACCCCTGAGACTTCAGGGCATGCGAGTCCTGAACTACTTGGACGATTGGCTGATTCTAGCTCGATCACGATCGGAGCTCATAGAACACAGGGCCGCATTACTCGAGCACCTCGAGGAGCTGGGCCTCACAGTCAATTGGACGAAGAGCTCACTGTCTCCCAGTCAGAAAATTTCCTTTCTGGGAACCGTGTTGGACTCGCTGTCCATGACAGCACACCTGTCACCAGAGCGCGTGCTAAATATTCAGCGCGGCGTGAAATCCTTCCGCCATGGCGCGATAGTTCCGCTCAAAAGGTTTCAGAAAATGCTGGGGCTGATGGCCTCAGCAGCCTCTGTACTCCAGTTGGGCTTGCTCCGCATGCGCCCACTGCAGATGTGGCTGAAAGCGCGGGTTCCACCCAGGGCATGGACAGCGGGTCTGTTTCGCCTCAGGGTCGACCTTCAGTGTGTTTCAGCTCTGGAACCTTGGAAAATAACCGACTGGTATCAGTCAGGTGTGAGTCTGGGGACCGCTTCGAGTGTGAAGGTGGTGTCTACGGACGCCTCCACCTCGGGGTGGGGAGCGCTGCTCGAGGGCAGACCGCTAGCTGGCCTGTGGTCAGAACGGGAAAAGCTCCTTCACATAAACTGCTTGGAGATGATAGCAGTCGACAAAGCGCTACGGCGTTTTTGTCCCCAGGTAACAGGCCACCACGTCTTGGTCCGGTCGGACAACATGTCAGTGGTGGCATACATAAATCGCCAGGGCGGCGTCAGGTCACGAAACCTTCACAGGCTGACGGAACGCCTTCTGGTCTGGGCTCAGCACAACCTGCTCTCACTGAGAGCGGCGCACGTGCCTGGTCACCTGAATGTGGGACCAGACAGACTGTCCAGGAACAATGTTCCAGCAGGGGAATGGTCGCTGCACCCGCAGACGGTCCAGCTGCTGTGGAAAACGTTCGGCAGAGCACAGGTGGACCTATTCGCGTCCCACGAAAACGCTCATTGCCCGGAGTTTTTCTCGAAAAGCAAGGACGCGCTGGCTCATGTTTGGCCCCGCTGCCCCCTATATGCTTTTCCTCCTGTCTCGCTCCTGCCTCAGGTGTTGGAACGAATCAGGGAGAACGGATGCCCAGTGCTGCTCGTAGCTCCGCTCTGGACAAACCAGACGTGGTTCCCTGCCCTGATGCAGCTGACCAGCACTGCCCCATGGCCTGTACCATTGAGGAGAGACCTCCTCTCTCAGGCGGAGGGCTCGATTTGGCACCCTCGCCCGGAGTTGTGGTCCCTGCACGCATGGGCCATCAACAGGTACCCGCTAGCCTCCCAGAAGGAGTGTTAAACACGATCGCGCAGGCTAGAGCTCCGTCTACCAGGCGGCTCTACTCCTCGAAATGGTCTGTTTTCTCTGCATGGTGTCAAGCCCAGAGCTTTTCACCTGTGGAATGCGGGGTTTCGGAAGTGCTTTCCTTCCTTCAAGAGCTACTGGATAAGGGCAGGACCCCATCCACGCTCAAAGTATATGTGGCGGCCATAGCAACGTTTGCAAAACCGGTGTCTGGCCAGTCGCTGGGGAAAAACGACTTAGTCGTGCGTTTCCTTAGGGGAGCTCGGAGGCGGAACCCTCCCAGGCCCCCTTCAGTCCCGACGTGGGACCTTTCCACGGTCCTGGAGGCCATGAAAGGCGCCCCGTTCGAGCCAATCCAGCTGGTGGACATGAAACACCTGTCGTTCAAAACAGTGTTTCTCATGGCTCTCGCTTCAGTGAAGCGCATAGGGGACTTACAGGCGCTTTCAGTAAGAGCGTCGTGTATGGAGTTTGGGCCTAATGACTCGAAGGTCATTCTCAAACCAAAGCACGGGTATGTCCCGAAATCCCTCAATACACCGTTCAGGGCCCAGGTAATTTCCCTGTCCGCCCTTCCGGTTCTCAGTGAGGAGGAGGATGCGAGTCTCCTTTGCCCCGTCAGGGCATTGAGAGCTTATGTGTCACGCTCGTCTGTTTTCAGACAGACGGAGCAGCTTTTTGTTTTGTTTGGCGGGCGTTCCAAGGGACTCGCCGCCTCAAAACAGAGCCTATCCAGATGGATAGTGGATGCCATTGCGCTCGCTTACTCTGCGAAGGGCCTACAGTGCCCCTTGGGTGTCAGGGCGCACTCCACGAGAGGCGTGGCCTCTTCGTGGGCATGGTCAAGCGGGGTTTCCCTGCAAGATATCTGTACGGCCGCGGGCTGGGCCTCGCCGTCTACATTTATAAAATACTATAACCTGGAGGTACCCGCCTTACAAGCTAAGCTTTTGGCGGTCTAAAATTCAGTGCTATCTGCCCCGCTGTGCGGCCCAGATGCTGAGTTTACTGCAGCCCCATGAGTGTTGACACACGTATGGCCACCCAGATCAGGCTGAAAGCTTTCACCCTGGCTGCGCGTTTTATTGTCATATAATAGCCCCGCTGGGTGCTTTTTTATAGGGAATGACGCTTCCAGCCTCTCTTCCTCCACTCTATGTGAGTTTATGGTGATTATGCACTACATGAGCCCTGGGCTTCGGCCCCCGGGACTTTGGTGTTGGATCCCTGTACGCACGGCGTGTTGCATTGTGTTCCCCTAGCGTAAGCTATTACGCAGTACGAGAGATACTCTCGTAAGAGAACGTACTCGGTTACTAACGTAACCTCGGTTCTCTCTAGAGAGGGAACGAGTACTGCGTATCTTGCCGTGCTTGGAATACGCTCTGGTTCGCTTCAGTGATAAAAACCAGCTTGTATCAGCCTAACGAGCATATTTATAGGGTGAGACCACGCCACTTCTGGCGGGACGTGACGATATGGGCGCGAATTGCCCCCATTGGTCATTACGTCACGCAGAGTCTCTCTCGATAGGCTGCTGCATTTGCTGCAGAGCAACCAATAGGCGCGCGAGCTGTTTCGCCTATGTCTGCTTGCTGCTGCAAAGCGTTTTACATTAATAAAAAATTAAGGATAATTTTTGGCTTCAATATCTCGCGGAAAAGAGTTTTTCCCCTAGCGTAAGCTATTACGCAGTACTCGTTCCCTCTCTAGAGAGAACCGAGGTTACGTTAGTAACCGAGTACGTTTTTCCCCTAGCGTAAGCTATTACGCAGTACTCGTTCCCTCTCTAGAGAGAACCGAGGTTACGTTAGTAACCGAGTACGTTTTCTACCAGGTTTTTGGGCACTTTTCAGCTGGTCAGTCTGGGAGACCATCTGACCACCCAGTTAAACACCAGTTGGCTAAGCTGGGAGACCATCTAAAGAAAACTTAACAAAACCAGCAATATAGTTTTTCTTTTCAGCAGGGTTAGCAACATTACTTCTCAATTCACAAAACAACAACAAAGCTGACAAGAAAAAATGTGTATATTTCAATGTTGACTTCAATAACTACTAACCTAGGGGCTGTTTTTCACACACGGCCTGCACCCATGACTTCATCAGCTGTCCCAGAATCCTCTGCTCATGAAGCGGGAAGACTTGCTGGATCACACCTCGCGCCCTCAGCTCAGGAACTGGAACATACACACACAGTGCACACTCACTAACACACACACACAACATGAACAAGTATTCAAAACTTTGGTAAAACTTTTCTTTCTAGAAACCTTCACCAACATATAAAGTGTCAGCCTGCACATTTAAATTGCTTTCAGGTAATCCAGATACTGATACACAAATATGAGTGACTTATACATACAAACAGGCCACTGGTACAGCTCAGGCACACACTTCTCAGGGCTCTCATAACGTCTAAATATAAGAACTCACTGATTGGCTGTCCTTCCAGGAAGTGGATGTTGTGAAGGGCCTCCCCATGTTTAGATCTGAGATTGTCCAGCCAGTATTTGATTATGCTTTGGCGTTCCTGTGAAAAGAATACGCTTCAATCTATAACAATGTCCGCGGGATACAAAAATGTACAACCCAACTCGATGTCTCAATGACTTCATTCTTTAAAAGAATATCATGGGTTACCTCAAACCCAAGCTCTATTGGCAATGTCCGTGATGTTGAAACACAGAAGAAAAACTGATTCGGCTCTCAGTTTATAAGCAAAACAAATAGTTTACAGTCATGTGATTACAATGGACGTCTAAGATATTAACCATTTAAAGTAAAAAAGTTACACTTATTTTTTTGTAAAAATAATACAAATTTAATCTAAATGTCTGTCTGAAATCACATACTCTCTTGAGTAAGTACTTATTTTGAATAAGTAGTTACTTCAGGACGGCTAAAAAGTACGTTCTATGTAGTATGAATGTAATCTGGACGCACTACATCCGCCATGTTGTTACTGTCATGTGATCTACCAGCGTCAGTTGCATCGCTTCACTGCCATTCATAAATCCTCTCCCGTGGCCTCATGGGATGGTAAAGTGTCCAACATATGCGCACTTCAGAATCTCGCCAGAAGAAGTAGGTCATCCGGGTACTTCTTTTGTCACATCCTGTTTTTCGCCTACTATATAGTAAGAGGTATGCTAGAAGTATATGGTTTGAGGTGGTACTACTTTTCAAGTTTACCAATGATTTACCAACATAATTTCTACGTGTAGTGTTTGCTCCATGTGAAAACTGCTTTATGGTTAGAACATCATGTCCCTGTGTATTCTTGGGCCGTACATCATCATCATCATCATCATCACAGATTTATTGGGATCATCAGATTAGCATGGTCAGGACATATTGAAAACAGTGTTACTATAATATTATTTATATGCTCTTATAGTGTTTATTAATATTTGAATAAGCTTTTATTTTTATATTTTCATTTGTCATTGTAATTTTAGTTTTGAATAATTATTAATAATAATTTTGTATTAGTTTTTGTTTTTTAACATTATTTTAATTATTTAATTTATTTTTTATTTCAATTTTAGTAATATTAGTACTTTATTTCAGTTGGTTGTTGTGTAGGGTTTCATCTATATTTTATTTCAAATTCTTTTACATAAATATTAAGTTTATTTGTGCTGTATGATCTCCATGTCGACTTTCATCCAAGTGCATTCTTTTACACACATGCTATGCTTTTACAAACTAATGGATTAGTGAAAATTATTTTCCGTGGTAATCAATATGTCTCAGATGTTGTTAAAGTTTGGTTGTTGCTTTTTAAAATAAAAGCCACCATAATCCGAAATACTGCCTTATGGAACATGTTAACTTTGTAAGTTACTAATAAGAATGTTTAATTACACTTTATAAGTAGTAATGTGCAATTGTTACATTAAAGAGCTATTTCTACCTGATTTAACTAAAACATGTGTTTTGTTGGTATGAATGAATCTATTTAGGTTTATTCAGTGATAATAAATACTATTTTCCACTGGAATAATACTAGTTATATTTTTAAGTGATCACTTTTTTTTAGTGTATGCATTTCTTCCTGTTTAAATAAGATGTCAAAAGCCCTCTTGATATTAGCATAGTGAAAGTCCAGTAACTACAAAAATCCTAAACTTGAATTCTGAATCCTGTCTACAGAAGAGTCAAAAATTTTATGCTCAATATTAATAAGGACCTGTGAAGTGAAGAAACAGAGTTCACTCTCAATGTTGTCGTAGATGTAATCTTCCTCACAGGAGAAACTGCGAGACCCGCCACCAAACTCCGGCTTCACAGCTTTCTGCAGTCCCATCTCTTCAGCCCCTCGTAAAAGACTGAGCACACAACAACAAAATACATCCGCATCAGTCAAACTTAAGATAGCCTCGAACCATAAACACTATGAAAGGACCTAAAATCAAGCAAAGACAAAATAACCGTCTTAATGTTCCAAAACAAACTTTCTTTGTACTCTACCGTTCAAAAGTTTGAGGTCAGTATGATTGTTTAAAAAAGAAGAAGAAATTAACACTTTTTTTTCAGTAAGGATGCAATAATCTGATCACCAGTGAGTGTAAAGACATTTATAATGTACATAAGATTTATATTCCCCCCAAAAATACTGTTCTTTTGAACTTTTTTTTTTATCACAGTTTCCACAAAAACGTTAAGCAGCACAGCCGTTTTAATGTTGATAATAATAAGAAATGCTTCTTGATCACCAAATCAGCATATTAGAATGATTTCTGAAGAATCGTGTGACATGATGCTGAAAATCAGCTTTGATCACAGGAATAAAATTACAAAAAATTTTTTTTTAACTATATTTATGATCAAATAAATGCAGTTCTGTCATGACAACTCTCTGAAGATTTGTAGCATGGTAATGAATATGACATTGCTAATGTATTTGGTCTTGGCGGAATAGATCTGCTACGCTGCTGTTGCTGTTGACAGAACATGGCATTTTTGATGAGAGTAAGAGACTCTTACTGACCCCGGCATACTTTTGAACGGTAGTGTATTTCGTAAACTGTCTTGATGCAATGTGGTCCCATGAGGCTCTGAACATCTCAGGCGTTCTTTAGAGGCTCATGTTGGAACATGACAATAAACATCAAACAAGCATTTGCTTGACCCTCCTGCCTCAGTACCTGAAGAAACCATTAATAAATATAACAGAAGAAACTAAAAGAAAGATAAAAGCTGTTTCCTTCCCATGCCCTCTCACTTTTCGTATGTGGCCGTGACGAAGAAGGCGTGCATTCTGGTGTGTTTGTGATGTCGGATCTGGATAATGAGTTCTGGGATGCCGAGCCGTATGTGGTTCAGAAGCCAGAGCAGCGTGTGGTCATCTGTGGTGTCTGCACGGAGACAAACATAAACACATGACCAATATACATGATTTATTATGTTCAGATATACTGCTGAAAAATACAGCAAACATCATCCTGAATGTTCATGCTGGTCCAGGCTGGTTTAAACTAGCATGCCTTGCTAGTGACCAACATCCATAACAAATGCCACTGTGACCATCCATTTTGTTTATAATACTAGTTCACAAGCCTAAATAATGTAAATGCAGCCAGAAACACATGATAAAACAGCAGTTGAATCCTTTCAACTTTAATTCTACTTTGTTAAATTCAGATTACAATTATATTACATCATATTCAGTGGCATGCAGTGGTGTTCTGAGGCAAAATTTTTATAAATCAAATGTAAATTTGAGTCCCAGTTACACATAATGTTGGCACATGTTCCTGGTTAAATAAACATTATATCAAAAAAGAGAAACCAAACACAAATCTATTTAGTATTTTTACATTAACTATGCAATTACTGTTCTATTTATTAATACCAAGTATAAATCTCATCAAGTTAGTTTAAGAATGTTTACATTTATTCCAAAATAATAACTAAAGGCAGTAACAAATTGAACAATATATTTTATCTGTGAACTGATGCTCAGCTGTTCTTTTTAATAGTCACCTTATTATCATCCGTTATCATCAAGCTCAGATCAACACTAGTAACGGACACAAAAATGTGCCTTTAATTTCACCCCACTAAAACCCCACACTGTCATCATGTTTTCAGGGCATTTCAAATTCGATTTTGACGTGACATAAAGCAGTGATATCTAAGTGGCTGAGTTGTTTACTTACTTTTTAATTAGTCTTTCCATTAAAACCAATATTTTGTTCATTCAGACCGATTCGCGAAACACGCATGAAAACAAGAGGCAGGATTTAATGCACAAACCCATCATATCCAATCATTACCCATCGTATCCAATCATAACCGATCGTATCCAATCATAACAGATCGTATCCAATCATAACCGATCGTATCCAATCATAGCGCGATGAAGGCATTGCCTCGTCTCACGTGACTTTCCCCAATTCATTCTCAGTTACCACACCACACGCTTTAGGGGGTCTGTTAAATGTCAGTGGGCTCAGGGGAGGCAAGAGAGACGCGGTGTCCCGCTGTAACTTTACCCGCTGGTGTCGCTGTTGGACAGTGGACACTGTTACTTTAGAAAAACAAGTGATTTACACTTTTTAATGTCAGATTTTGTAATATTTGAGTCGTTTTATTTTTGTAATATGGATTATTTTCTCATCCAATGTTTTGAGGAGGCACTGCCTCCCTCGCCTCCTCGGAGGAAACGACCCGATCCTATTTGCTATATCAATTCAAACTTTATCAACAAAAAAACTAAGGAATTAAACTGGAATTTAAAACGTAATCTAAATAATCATTTAGAATGACCTCATATCTAAATAGTTTTAAAAATATTATTTAATATGATTGAATCAACCTGATTATATTGGCTTATTGGGTTAAACAAACAAAAGTCATTTTTAAGAATTAGGTACGGTAGAAATAGTACCAACTGCAAATTTTCACTTTCTACAGTGGACAAAAGCGATAAAGATTCTTTTGTGTAATAAAGACACTGTTGAGAGCCGCACAGTAATTCACTCACGCTTAAAGTTCCTCAAAAATGACAAAAAAGAAATGTATTAGTTCAATGAAATGAATGTACTATATTTTAGTTCAATAATGTTTTTTTATTTAATATTTTGTATTTTTTAGAGATTTTATGGTAGTAAATGTATGCAATAGTTATGGTCCATTTAAAAAACTGAAAATTTCCATCTTAAACTGTCATACATCTTGAATGCTTTGGAGCACAGACTTAAGTTTGGTCTCTTTTTAAAGAAGACACTTGGCATATTATTGCTGAAGTGAAAAAAGAAAAAAGTGAAGTTTGAGTTTATATCATAAAAAATGCACAAAAATACTATTTTCAACTTTTATATGAAATAAGTATTTTGAAACATGTTTCACTCTAAAACTGTGAGAAAATCAAAGTCATACATGTAAAAAAAGTAGTGTTCCAAATATGAGGTTGATATCTCCAAAAATGGGCTTTTTTAGTAAGATTTTGTTTGAGCGCAGAACCAAATGTTTCCACTAGATGAAATTCGTTTCTCATTCATTTTCAATGCGGTCAAAAATGACCTCGAACAATACAAGTGTGAATATTTTTTTCAGGACCATTTAACCTATATTCGAATCATGTCCATGATTTTCGTGTGTGTGTGTTTGTTCAAATAGAAAGTGGCAAAACCTATACCAACTTCTGTACAATTCCAATGAAGTAAAAAATTCGAAAAAATAAATAAAATAAAAAACAAAAACGTACGATTTTTGGGTGAAAAATGACCAGAGCATCAGAGGATTAATCAATCATTTTATCTCTCTCTAATAAGTGCATTCATTTGCATTTCAGTGGCTCAAATCTTAGTTATTAGCTCTAAAATTATGTTTTGTAATTAACAATGGAAATTACTACACACACAAGAGCGTTTAAAAGGACAAAAACCTGACAAATGTCTTGAAATAAAACATTTGAGAAATGTCTGGTGGCAACCATGGTATAAATGAGATCATTGACCTCACTGTTAATTATCCCTTCCATATAAAATTTCATCTTAAAATGTTTATAAGGCCACCAAGATGTGATTTTTGTGTACATGTGGTTTTAGTTTATTTATTTTAGAAATGAGTTTTAGTATGAAAGTTAGCGGTGGATGAATCATGATTTATTTTGTAAAAATACGTATGGTTAGTGGAAAAGACAAAGTGTGTGCAAACAAAGAATGGATTAGGAAAGAAAGAAAGTAAGAAAGTAAGAAAGAAAGCAAACATCTGAGGCACCTGGAAACGTCATAAGGACATCACAGTTCTCTGTGGGCACCGTCTTCATCCAGGATTTATGGGACATGATGTGTCTCCCGGCCTGCAGCAGCCTCTTCCCAAACAGCTTATCTGAGGAACACAACAAGGAGGAGAAAAGAAAACAAACATCAGTCACTTCGCTACGTTGCTATGGACAAACAGACTCACTCCAGGCCGTTCATTTTCCCTCTCTCTCACAGTGCCAAGCTTAAATGTCACTCTCACACTCTCACTCTCCCCTTGAAACATGAGAAGAGGAGACGACCCGAACGCCCCAGCGAAGCTGAAGCCCTGACGGCACAGCGGCCAGTGTCTGAATATGAACAATGACCTCAGAGACCAGAGAGTCGGCTCCATGTGACCCACTGGGGATGTGAGCTCTTGGGAATCTTAGTGAAGATTTCTTTTTTTAAATATTAGTGTTTTTTTTTTTTAATAAACAAGACACAGAAAGATGGATGAATGTATTTAAGCTCAGAGAATGAGAAATAAAGATATGAATTATTCGAAATTAAAGGAGAACTCCGGCGCAAAATGAACCTTTGGTCTAATTACACATTGTTACCTAGTCAACCGTTATCTGAGATTTGTTTTCATGATTATCGAATGTCAATAGTTTTATCTCTTAAAACAGTTTAGCCTATAAAGCTAGTATAACGCTAGTATATTGAGCATGGAGTAATTACAAATAAAAATCGCTTGTTAATACCACTAACAAGGCTCAAAATAGCCCCACACTAGCACGGTAGCATAATGAGGGTCCCTACCTTCAAACCGAAGCATTGAGAACTTTGTCAGTGTCCAGACAGTTTAATAAGAAGATATTTTATACATACAGTCAACTTCGCGTATACAGGCAGTAGCCATCTTTGAAAAACAGTCTCTACCAGTCGATCTACGAACGCCGATCCAAGTGCGCTGGTGAGAATGTGAACGAGCTATAAGTTGTGATAAGGTGAGCGCGAACAGCAGGCTTGGATCGGCGTTCGTAGATCGACTGGTAGAGACTGTTTTTCAAAGATGGCTACTGCCTGTATACGCGAAGTTGACTGTATGTATAAAATATCTTCTTATTAAACTGTCTGGACACTGACAAAGTTCTCAATGCTTCGGTTTGAAGGTAGGGACCCTCATTATGCTACCGTGCTAGTGTGGGGCTATTTTGAGCCTTATTAGTGGTATTAACAAGCGATTTTTATTTGTCATTACTCCATGCCCAATATACTAGCGTTATACTAGCTTTATAGGCTAAACTGTTTTTAGAGATAAAACTATTGACATTCGATAATCATGAAAACAAATCTCAGATAACGGTTGACTAGGTAACAATGTGTAATTAGACCAAAGGTTCATTTTGCGCCGGAGTTCTCCTTTAAGATATGTATATATAACTTATGATGTTTATATTTGAAATAAATGTGTTTCTTTCGAACTTTCTATTAATCAAAGAATCCTGAAAAAATGTATCACGCTTTCCACAAAAATATTAAGCAGCACGACTGCTCAAATGTTTCTTGAGCAGCAAATTAGCATATTAGAATGATTTCTGAAGGATCATGTGACACCGAAGACTGGAGTAATGACAGCTTTTAAAAAACAGTTCACAATCTTACTGACTCCAAACTTTTGAACAGTAGTATATTATTAAGTGGCAAAAAATGTTTCATTGCACTGCTCAAGTTTGGGGCAGACGATGCAGTTGTTTAAACAATGCCAGATAGGAACATGTTTTATTAGTATTTTTTGCAAATAATATTTTGGATATGTTAAAGGCACACTACACAATCTCATTTGTGATTTATCTTTCCTATCGTTTGGATTTTTTATTTTTATTTTATTTTATTGTTTTTAGTTTCAAAATATCAAATTCATCCAATTAAGTCAAAATCAGAAAGAAAGAAAGAAAGAAAGATAAATAAAGAGGTTGAGGTCAGTTGTGTTGTGTTTTTGGCAGTGACCGCTCTATAAATGTTCAGCTGCTCACAGTGGCATCATGCTCACTGATGCATGACCTTCAGAAAGTGGGACACGGTCTACATAAATCTAACATAATCTCAGGTCACTATACAACACCTACTAAATAATCTGCTAGGGAAAGAAAAGGTTATCATAAAATATTGCTAACACCAAAGCCTAAATATTTGCACTTGACATCTAACATATAGCTATTACACAATGTAAAGGATCAAGGATTTTATAAGAAAATAATAACAATGGTTAATATTATATTATAAATATTATATTTTAGTAAAAAAAAAATTGGCTTTGTTCATACTGCAAGCCTATAGTGCTCAATTCTGATTTATTGCTCAGATCCAGTTTTTGTTTGTTTTGCTTTTAAAATTATTTGGCTATTCACATTTTTAAAAGTGGACAATATCAAATTTGAGAGGACCAAACAGAACCAGAGGCATACACCTGACAGACACAGGAGGTCAGCATTTACGCGTTCATTTATGAGTTAAGGCAAGCGAGGTGATAAGGAGGATGCAGACGAGGATGAGGAGAAAGAGAGCAACGTTTTTATATTTTATATGCTTGCATTGAATTCTGATATGACTGTTCAGACTGAGGTCGCATTGCAAAACATCAGACCTGTATCTGATTTAGGAGGACCACATATGAAAGTGGCCCCAAATCAGAATCGAAGAGGTCAGGATCCATGTGGTTTGTGCTGTTCACATCGATATGAAAACACAAACAAAAACAGATCTATTTCAGAAATGAGAAGGACATTTTTTTAAACATAATTAATATTTCACTGTGAACATGTTCTAACATTCCTAAATTCCCTGTCTTGATTGTAATTAATTCAATTCACATTTATTTGTACAGCGCTTTTCACAATACATATAATATTAATTTTAAAGCAGCTTTACATAAAATGCATGTCTACATTCCAATTTGTGATCTGTTATCAGAGGTGACTGTATCCAAGCAATGTCCATATTTCAGAAATATACAGTTCTTAGATAATACAAATCATGCAGTTAGCTAACATTATGTATTATTTTAAGGAAGTAAAAATGAGCTCATTAAAGTAATTATTTTAATTGTTCAAGTAGGTGCGGTATATTATCAAAATATCAGTGTGGAATATATTAGTAAAAATATATTTTTTGTGAAATATATAATATATATTATATATCTAATATAAAAAAAAAAAAATCAATTACACCCTCACTAGTAGGTGGCAACAAGTGACTGTTAAAAAAGTTTATTCCTTCAAACACACCAAATCAGTCAGAAACAAGTTAAGACTTTATGAGCGAGTCATTGAATCATTCATTCAATCCGATAAAAAAAAAATCAAACTAATTAAATATTTTTAAATAGACTGTTTTGTTTAGTAAAAAATATAATATATGAATAATACCTGAAACAATATTACAGTATTTTATGATGCGTGCAACAACAGCTATCCAATTTCACCACAAATTTAAGAGGATTTTTAGTTATTGTTATTTCCCACTATAATACAAACAAACAAAGTCAGAACACATGGCATTAGTGTATCGTCTGTGCAATGCCTAAAACAAGATCGAGCATAACACGTCACTATAGACACCTGTGATCTGGCCAATCATCAGTCAGGGCTCACTGGCTCAGTTTCCTACAACTCTCTAAGCTTTATTTTTACCCGCTGTGTAAAGCCTAATGCAGGTGTGATGCCATGCTGTCATAATGAAACCCATCAGTGAGAAACATGATGGCAGATAGCATCCTTTGGATGTGCAGAGGGAATGCTTCACAAGTAGCAAGCAATGAAATCTGTGAACTTCTAAATGGAGGACACCGCATAAAAACTACACAACCAAAGGAAAATCCTGTCCATTTTTGGATTCTTTTCAAATGCTGCAGTGATTCACCACTGTAAGTGCACTTCTCCTATCAGAGAGGTCATCAAGGCCAGACATTATGGAGTGCTACAAACAATTATTCCGAAATGAAAGGGTGCTGAAAATTAAAGTACTGCAAAACAGCAATGCTTCATACTGATGATGATGAGCCAACAAAAATCTGGTAATTGCAAAATCATTTGAACAAAGCCATTGAAGAATTTACTGCATGGTCAGGAATTGAGTCAACAATATACAAGAGGAAGCAAAAATATCTGTTAAAAGCACATTCTGAAATGGCTGAGGTGATACAGTGAATATCACAATCAGAAAAACATATTTTCAATGTATAAGTAAGCCATGTATTACCGGGCAAATGTTTCCTTTGCAACTTTGGTCCTTCCACGAAGCAATTCCTGTGAAGTTATCTACTCAAATGAATGGGCCATTGTGAAGGAAAGGAGAAGTTATGAATGACTGAATGGGCTGGAATTTGAATACAAGCTTGGCACTTGATAATAGACTTTAATAGCCAGTACCATCCAATATGTCTGAAAGTCACTTTCATATTTTGAAACATATACATAAACATATTTAGCTTTTTTACAGTCCAAAAAGCGGTTCTAATATTAAAATGTTTAACCACTTCACCATATCACGACATTGTTATTTTTGTTGCATAGTAACATTCTGTTATTTTAGGGACTACCACTGCATCCGAAATCGCATACAGTATAGTAGGTAGGCTTTTGGTTTAAAACTTACTTCGCAACCGCTAAACAAGTGCGTTGCACGATTAATCGTAAAAGATCGTGATCTCGATTCAAACACCCATGCGATCTTATTCCTAAATGTCTATTAATGTCTATTAAACCTTTAAAAAGAACAATCACAGCTGAACTGAAATCTACGTTCACGCTGCCGCTGACCCAGAGAGCAACTATGAAACAGCTCCACAAACAGTCTTTTCAACATCTAAAGAATGTATCAAATACACCGTTACACCAGTAGGTGGCGACAAGTGACTGTTAGAAATGTATTTGTCATTGAATCATTGATTTAAAAGATTCCTTCAAATATGCTTATTCATCCAGAAACAAGTGAAGTCTTTATGAGCGAGTCATTGAATCATTCATTCAATCTGATAATTAAAAAAAAAAAATCTAATTAATGACATGTTTTTTAAATAGACTGTTTTGTTTAGTTGTCTATTCAAAATCGTGGGAGAATTATGATCTGCGTTAAAAAATT